CTTCCTAGTCAGATTCGCGAGGCTCTTGAGACGGCCACTTGAACTAGTAATAATCCTGGATTGATTGTTTGATAGATCATTGCTCGCTTCGACGTTAGTCCGGCGCTTACAGTTGGCGATTCCGGTTTGTGGTCCACGCTTGTCGAACGTGTCAAGAATAAAAGCCTCTGCCTCTCTTGCAACGCGCGTGCAGTCCGCAGTCCACAGTCCACTCCCTGTTTTTCTTGTTCTTCTGCGTAGGACTCGTTCCGATCCCGCCCTGGTCTAGGCGCGGGAGGCAGTATCCGCGCTTCCCCAGCCCGCCAACGAGAAATAAACGGGCGGCGAGATTAAACGCCTACTTACCGTCGTGTCAACTCGACACTAATGAGTCTAGGACAAGGTTGGAAGTGACAGGGATGAGGGAGGGAGGGGAGGAGGGAGCGAGCGCGAGTGTTGAGTATACTCCGTACAACATACCTGCATGGGTAGTTTACTGGTATAGTTAATAAGAACCCTCAATAATAAATTGAACCGCATCTCCGCGCCTGCTCACCCAGAATCCATTCTTACTCCGTAGACTCTTAGTATAGACGCCCGCGAAGCCCTACACTCAGAACAGCCTAGCACCGCACCGGTATGCTCCGACCGAGGTCGACCGGCGTCGATCTAGGCACAAACTATCATGGCAGGCTCGCCACCATTCTGTCGGATGGATCTTAGTCTCAGTCTGTTAGTACTCTATATAAATCCCTGTCATCAGCGTGCTGTTGGGAGTCGCGCCAACATGACATGGTGTCCGTGAGAGCAAGACTTTACCTCGTCAAGCAAGATTGGAGAGGTAGCGCAGAACCTCCCTCCTGGCTGGCTCTCCCGGAGTGTAACCCGAACGGTTTAAACACGGTTAACCATCTCCGGGACTGGTGCGACTCCGATAGGATCTTCCTAGCGCCGGAATACAAAGAAGAAAGGGCTGAGAGAGTCGGACGAAACGATGTGAGAAACAATTCTTCATGGGACGGAAAAAAAGGAGAAATCACACCTGGCCAGAAGCCTTGATCAGGATATAATTGTACAATAGACCATCAAACCCTGCTATTATTGACTATACAGTACATAACTTATGAACTACTCGCGAGTATGTGTGTGTGTGTGTGTGTGTCCGGGTGTGTGTGTGTGTGTATTCGCCTCGAACCGGGCCGGTCCCCAAACTTTTCCCTCTTTCCCTCTTGACTTACGGAATCTCGAGCACGGGCCAATAATAATCCCTATTACCGCATCCGGTTGTTCCCCAACACGAAATCAATTGTTCGACCAGAATTGCTACAGCCCCTTGGTAGCAGCGAGTCATATCTGTACAACTGGTCTCTTCATATAGAGTTCGTTTACTCGATCGAAATTACCCAAATTGGTCGTTATCCGGAGATCTGTTGCTTGTGTCAGCTTAGAGTTCATGCCCTCACGTGATCAGAGGCTTCGAACGTTGCGCGGCAATTTCGGCATAGATGAGAATGCTGCGTGACATCGTCATGAGGAAGCTTCGCGTCACAGCAGGGTCTCCATCCCTCTCGACCCCAAACAAAACATAGAAAAAGCAGAACGGCTCGTCCTACTCTGGTAGTATTGCGTAACGAGAGAAAATGTTATGCATGCACAAGAAGCTTGACAAGGTCAGCACTGGCAGACACACGATACTTGAAGACACAAAAACTCGTAGTGTCTGTTCCCCCGACCTTTACCCGCCGAGTCAGGAGTGAGTGCAGTAACCCACCGTCAGGGCAGAGTGGGTTGCTGCTCTCCCAAATCCCGATGGATCGAACCAAAGCCGTTTGCTAAGTTCCCGAGAGCATCCCTCATGATTGATCACTGATATTTGGAGTCGGATGGGTCCTGGTGACAGTTGATCGATGTCGACAACGTACTGTACAGAGTACCTCCTCTTTTTAATTCTAAAAGAAACATGAGATGCGGTCTTTATCAATGCGTAACTTGCCTTGAGTGAGGTACACGCACGCACTACATTGAGTTTGATGAAGTCAAGGGAACCGTTAGACGGAATCGTTTCCGAGCTGGTGTTGCAATAGTCGGAGTAGCTATAGAAAGGTGGGGACCAAGGGACAATGGGGCCTCGGAGGCTCGGACAACGGTTCAATAGTTGCCAGATAGTCTCCGGCGGTACCTTCACTTATGGAGCCCTACTGTGTATGACTGTATAATGAACGGTCCATAAAAATCACAGGAGTGAATCATCATTGTGCGTTTCGGCCTGGTCTTTCAGGCCGCAGAAGACTGAACACGGAGATGCTCCAGGGGAAAACTCTTCCACTGAGTATCAATTCCGATCTTCCAGGTTTCTTTCTCAGACCAAACTTTGTGCCTGGTCTGACTTCTTGGCACAATAGATTCAATCTGGCAAAATCTCCGCTACTATCGTTTGCGCCCTCCGTCATCCTCACTCAGAAGTGACGGTGCAGATCTGATCGCCAAACTTGAGACAAACCCGGCCCTCTGGAGGGGCTTCTTCCTCCCCTCCCCCTTCGAATCGTTGTTGAAGAAGCTCTTCATCTCGAGGTGAGGCGTTCAATAGTATCTCCTACCACAAGCTTGAATGGCATCTACGCTGAAAGTCGTTAGGCGCTCCGAACTCATTCAAAACAATCAATTCTTTCCGTCTCTGGGAATGAATAAATCACACAAATCACTCATACCATAGCAAAACGGCTATTTCATTATATAAAAAGAACAGAAAGAAATGAAAAACAAATTGGCAATCAACTTAGAGCCGCCACACCCACAAAACCGTCCGGGCAGTCTACTGGGAGACCCTCTTTTTGCGTCGATTTTTCGGGTGTCCGCCAGGGTCCACTTGGTATCGAGACCTCCACGAATAAGAATCCAAGGATCCTCGATAGCTACAGGGAATGATCAGAGACAAGTGCTCTGTGCCTCTGCCTGGGGAATCCTTGGCTTTTTGCTCGCCGGAATCCTTCTCGTCTTCTAGATTATATTTAGTGATTGGCGAGAGAGAGGAAGGGGGGGGGAGGGGGGGGACAAGAAGGAAGGAACCTGATGCCATTCCTTATTGCGTCTGGCTCCTTTAACCGGACCATAGTAACGGACAGGGCATGGGCGTTAAGTTACTGGGAAGAGGCTCCACTTTGCGGAAAATCCGACCGCATCCCGGCCCTGCTGCTAAATAGACGATAAGCTGGTGGAACCGCGGTGGTCCCCTCTCTACTCCGGAGTAAACATCATTCGTGTAGCCATCTGAGCATCGTCCGAGTTTGAACAGCCCGGCCGAAACTCTGTCGGCATATCCAGAACCTTAGCTGCGCTGCTGCACAGTAGAGTAAAAGTAACCGTCATCTGGTACGGGGATTTGTCCATTTTGATCCTTGCTGGCTCTCATGGCTGGCAGGATGGTTCAAGGAGTTTATTTCCATTCATTTCCATTATTCATTCACCTCTTCTTTTTTTTTTGTTTGGCTCTCTCCCGTTTCTCATTTCGCTTCTCATCTCCGTCTTCTGCTTTTGCCCTTTGCAAAAATCCAGACAGTGAGCGATATGCTATGCATATCATTGTTGCTTTGATTAGCCGCTTACAACGTATCTCCCTCGTCTTGTGTCTCTCCGGCGTGCTGTAAAATAGTTTCTGAGTCTTATCTGCCACGAGGAGAGGATTTCAGGTCTGAAGGACTTTAGTCCTTTGTACTTGCGTAGAAACCGCTCTAACGAGAGGCATAGAGCAGATTGATGATAGAAATGATGGTCGTTGCTCGGACTGTGGCGGCACCCACCGGCCGATCTCCCAGTAATAGTCCTTTGCAATGATACTACTACGATTGACTACTATAGTACGTAGTACGTATACTACGCCGCTACGGCAAGTCAAGAACAGGGACGCATTGTCCAGACCAAGCCAAACAAGGTTATCGCCAACTGCCGTTCCGAACAGAAAAATCACATACTGGAATAAAATTAAAAAAACAAAAAGAAAAAAAAGGAGAATGTGGTTTGGTCTCGGAGTCTCGAGCGCCGCCGCAAATCATGACTAACGGGAATCGAAAAGGTTGCTGCAGAGAGCTGGATCTTTTCCGAGAGGATCCTCTTGCGGGGCGCCGGTAGGGAAACCTAATTATCATCCAGTCCAGCCCGACAGGGTAAAAACAAGAGACCGCGCTGGGTAACAAGCCCTAAGCCAATGCACAGAACAAGAAGGGATCCCGGGGAGCAAGAGAGGGGACTCGAAGAGGGGCGCTGACGATATCTGATACCCAGTTGGATAAAGTCTAAATCCTAATTCTCCTCTTCTTCCCCCTCCGCCCTCCCCCAAATCCAATCCATGATACCGTGGCATGATCAATCGGGATCATGATGATCAAGAAGAAGACAAAGAAAGGGTCGATGCTCGTGCCTGATCTCTGCTCCATCTCCGGTCCAGGCTTTCCCACTTTTGCCCTTTTCCCCCCTCCTCCCCGTTAGCTATTTCGATTTCTGTCCCATCACCGTGGCCGTCTACCCGCCGGAACGCCAACGATTTAGGCGTCATGGTGGAGCGGGAGCGAAGTTCACCCGAAGACGGAGTTTCACTCAGTGCCAAAAAAAAGTAGACCAAAAGTCAATCGAGGTGAGACAGTTCAAATAGCAAGGAGAGAGAAGAGGAATTTCCGAAGTATGGAACTATGGATAGGATGCTAAACTGAGTTGACCGGTACGGGTGACCCCGTGCCCTCTCGGTATTCAATCTTCATCAGTCAGTCTGTCATAATAATAGTGTATGCCCTACTCTAACCTCCCCCATCCCCCGTCGAACCCGTAATTGCCGGTGGAAATCAATCTGAATCAGTCATAAGTCGCCCCCCCCCAGTGTACTTGGTAGTTCATTCCAGTGCCATTTGCCTAGATGGGTTTTAGGAAGGTGATTAGACAAGGATCCAAGACAGACTTCGCAGCTAGTTACTATCAGGGATGAACTTTCGGGCATAACCCATCATTATTTTGACCACACCCTCCTCCTCGTCCTCTCTACTCTCACCTTTTTCCTCTTTACTCACTTCTTTGGGCTTCCTTGGTGGTAGCGATTGTGTGTTGTATGTGTGCAGGGCATCATCATCATCATCATCATCATCATTATCATATGCTTGGTGAACATCAAAGGCTTCTGGTACTGCTGCTGCTTCATTTTCTCCCTCCCTGTTTACCTCTTTCTCAAGCGTGCACCAACTGTGCATCTACCCACAGTCTCCGCTCTGCCTTGATCCCCGATCTGACAAAGGGGGATCGGGTATCATCCTTGGACCGGCTCTGAGAGAGGCACTGCCGCAATATAGAGTAGCAGCACCTCAGCCCCTCTACTTCGGGCTCGATCTGATTCGTTAGTGGCAGTAACCTCCCGGCCGACTTGGAGCCAAGCTGAATTGACACTTGCCTGGCCTTTGACGTCTTGGACGGCTTAACGGTCCGTGTTGGAGACACAAGACACACACAGTATTGTTTGATTGATTGATTTTGGGGAGGTGGTATATTGCCTACATTACCTCTTCCTCTGGTTGTGGTTGCTGTAAGTTGAACTTGTTGTTGCTCGAATCCCACCGAGGCACGGAGACCAACCAGCTGGTCTCAACTGGTGGCAGAGACGGGCTTGCCTTCCTTCTTCGGTCCGTCGTGGGCGTTCGATGTGTGTTTCGCCGTTCATCTGCATCCCGCACAACAACTATTTCGCCCCCAACCTTTCTTTCTTCCTTCTACCATCATCGCTCAGCATTCTGCTTGAATCCGCTATTCTGGGTTTGATCAAGAAACCCGACAACGACGACGACATCGCGGTCCCTGCTCACTTCCATCCTCAATTCGACGCATGAGTTCTGCCAGCATTCGTGGCACTTCCTTCCGCCTTCAGCACCTCATCCATCTAGATCGCCCCGCTGCAATCTTGGTATGGAGAGTTCTCACATACTGACAGTGCTTTATGGTCGTCTACATCATGACTATTGGTCTCTAGCTGCAATTTTCCCCGATTCCGTCATCCCGCAGTGAATGGAAGCATCCAAGTGAGCGCGCCTGGCGCGGACTCGGTCCTCGCATTGAGAAACTCCTGCTGGTCCATCCAATAGTGTGACCCCTCCTGCTATCGTAAAGACGAAAAGCTATCTATACTAATCTACTGGGATTCGACAGCGGGCTCACGATCAAACTGTTCGCTTTCCCACATTTCACGCCGTGTAAGCATTCGGTAGCTGTTCGACGACTACCCCACTTGTGTCAGTCAGTCTGGGACGTTATCAGTCGAGTATTAGTGTAAGTGAAAGAGCTTCAACTCGAGCAATAACGCAGTTGGAGATAGCTAAGCCGTGCCCAGCGTTCTGGCAGGTTGCCTTGATCGCATCCCTGGGCAAGTTCGACCAAACTGTGACCACCAACCTCTGCCTGTAGCACCGCCAACTTGTCTGTGCAGCATTTATCCACAAGCTTTGGAGGCTTACTTTTCAGAGAGAGTTCCTCCCGTCTCGTGGCTTTGGCATATACCATAGCCGAGTCCTTCAGCGTTCAAAGCCAGAGCGCCGAACCATGTCGGACCACCCGACAGGTCCCTTTGGGAGTACGTCCCTTATGAACCCGAGCCGGTGCATTCAGCTAATCCTTTAGGCTCTGGGACCCGTCCATACCAGCTCCCACCTCCACGTACATCAGCACCTTTGCAGCTTGGGACGGATCCCTTTTTGCGACAGCGCAATCAAACCGAGAACCGTGAACCTGGCGAGATAGGATCAGGTCGGTCCAGTCTTTCCGGGCCACAGTTGGGGCAAAAAGAGCAATTGCCCTCTGTGAGTCACCTGTTGACACCTACTGCTCATCCGAGTCGGCCATCGTCTCCGTACCACGCCCATAGATTCGGGGTCTACACCCCTCCTACTGGTAGTACAGGCTCACCGATCCATCTTCATCACAATGAACAATTGCCGCGGCATAGCATTCATGATAGCACCCGAGCATATCCTGAGCCGGTCGCATCGCAGAGTCGAAGCCTGCCGCCGCTGTCTTATATCTCTACAAGCACAGGACTTGGGCGCGAAGGTTCTGTGAACACACTTCATACCAGCCCCTCAGGACAGACTGTTCACGCAGCACCTTTCTCATATTCTGGGCACAGGTCGCACGATCAGGAATATGCGGGAGACTACTCCCCATCAGAGACAGCAGCCGATCCGACCTCGGGTACTCAATCCCAAGGAAGTAACGTACGGCCGCACGTGGTGGACGAGAAATACATTGAGGGAGAAGGCTTGTGTTATATCTATGCAGATGGGACACATTGCCCAAAGCTTATTGACGGCATGCCGGTGAATGCGAATTGGGGAATCACTAAGGCCGGCAAACCGAGGAAAAGACTTGCACAGGCTTGTCTGACCTGCAGGGAGAAGAAAATCAAATGCCAGCCAAATCTTCCCAAATGTGACCAGTGCCAGAAGTCTGGTAGAGAATGCAGGTTCGAAAGCGCGTAAGTCGATTGATAAACTACGGCCTGATCCCGGACTGGCGACATGGCAGACACTGACAGAATGCTAAATCAGACCGCGTGGCCATCGAGCAGCACTCAAGTCTGCGCACCTTCTGGGCAAATACGATTCACAAGACAGCTATTCAGGGGGCGGTTATCACCATGGCGCCTCGCCCCAACCCTCATACTCGACGATGCGGGCATCGGAGAGCTCAGTATCCCTCCCAGGCACGAACTCACTCTCCCCAAGGTCCGAAGCTTCCATGATTACTCCCTCGGCTGTTGATACGACTCAAGATACAATGGATTATGAGCCCCGATTTCGGCCCAAAGCCCACAGCTTTGCTCGACCATCCTCCGTAGCGGAAGAATTGCCGAGCAACCGAGCATCAGTTGTGTCTCCGGATTATGCGGCAGTGTTGAAAGAGATGAAAACTCCAAACCCACAAGATCCACTTGTGAGCGACTGGAACACAGACCCTTACGAGGCTGAACCAGAACTTACCGTTCACTATGTCGAAAGCTACTTTAATTATGTGAACGATCGGCTGTATTATATTTTCCCACGAAACCGATTTCTGCTGTGGCTGACATCTTGCCACGACAAGTCGCTGGAAGACACCATGCTCCTGTACGCGATGATGGCATTAGGGTCCGTGTTCTCCGACCGGCCAGACAGGGTCATGGCGATGAGGAAATATGCACGCACAGCTCGATATGCAGTGGAACACGGCCAAGATAGTTTGTCTTTGCAGCTTGCTCAGACACATATCATCATGAGCATGTGGTATTGCGCCATAGGAGCCCTCGTGAAGTCGTGGGACGCTGCTGGCGCCGCCGTCCGCACAGTGTGTGGGCTCCGTTATAATGTCGAAGCAGGCGGGGTCATCGTGGACCAGAATCAGCCGTGTGAATACGGCCTGCATCCGCAGGCTCTGATCGAGTGTCGCAGGCGGACATTCTGGGTCGCTTTCCTTAAGGACGTGAGTATTCGAGTTAGTTCGCTGCATTTATCAACCCAAGGCTAACGACGTGGTGTTCTTTAGCGTACAACCTGTGTCTATGCCCCATCGTCCTGTACAATTCCGTCGCAAACCGCCTACCTCAGACTTCCTTGCCGTGAAGAAGTTTTTGAAGCACAAGAATATACCACGGTACCCTACTTCCAGAGCTTTCTAAACCAGGACCCCTCTTCGAACAATGATATTTCCGGCATGAGCACCATGGCACGCTTCATTGAGATCATGTCGCTCTGGGGCGAAGTATCAGATCATGTTTTCCGGCTGTCATTCATTCCGATGGAGGTCTATAGGAAACAATTTGAAGACTTTTATTCCACCGTGACTCGACACGCCGAGGAATGGGCTGCAAGGCTTCCAGACCATCTGACCTTCACGGCAGTCAATTTGGAGCGGAGCATCAGAGCCAAGAAAGCTGACGCATTCATGTCAATACACCTAGTCTATCATGCGACGTTGATGAAACTGAACCGGCATGCTCGTCACCAGAGCGTTCGCGCTGAGGTTATTAGCCAGCATATTCATTCTGCCCGAACTCACGCTGCTGAGATTCTTCGCATGACCAAAGCCTTGATCCAAAGTGCAAGCGAGTACGAGCCTACCCGAATTCTCATGGAACCAAGTTCGGCCAAGGGGGCAATCTTGAATCCGTTTTTAGGCTACGTGCTTCTGTCTGCAGTCGATGTTCTTAGTGCGGCCGGCCGCATGGTTGAGATACGGGAATGCATCGCCCTTATCCAGAGTGGTCTCGTGGCAATCAACGAGTTGGCGTGTTTCTGGGGCAGTCTCTTGCCGCTGGCTGCATTGATTCAAGAGCGGCTCGATACGTTGAGCGCTTGTATGGAAAACCCGGCGCAAGCTGAGGGCAAAGTCGCCTTCTTGAGCAATAGCGCGTCTCTGGATAGCAAAGCCCGCAATGTGCTACAGAAACATGCGGAGCTGCCGGCAGATGAAGATCTTATGTACGGAGAATTGTCTTATGAGAGATTGCTCAGTGCTCTGGGTGCTGGCGATGGCCCTTATCCGCCCGGAACACTTCTCTGGGTCGGGGAGACCAAAAGCTGATCCTGTTTCTTGGAGGTTTCTTGACGTTGCATTTGAAGACAAGTATGTAATAACACAGCACGGCCGTTTTGTTGATTTTGATTTGACATCATATACCCGGGAGGCTCGTTTTGACATTGTTCTGGCAGGTACTGGGAGGTTCTGTTGAGAATCATTGGACAATTGTATATATGGAGACAGGCATTCGCGTTGGCATGAAGGACATGACAGGCATAAACTCATACTACACAGAACTTATATCATCTTTTGGAGCCAAGTTCGTTCGGATTATAAGCAAAGCGTAGACCATTCTAGGTTAGTGTACAGTATGTGTCCTCACCGCCGAGGTTGTTTTTTCGACGTCATCGCAACGGTCGAGCACTACATGTGACATGCAGCAACCAGCGCCGCCGTCTAGATAGCAATCCCTTGTTTCCCACAAGCAAGCCAGGCTGAGACGACTGGGGATTCTCACTGTGATTTATGTTTCCAAGATAGGAGGGATTGGATTCTGAGGAAGACCGACTGACTGTGCTTCATTTCCGCTCGGTTCCATTTCCCCCGCTCTTTCCGCCCCTCCGGTCCAGCCAAAGCCGCCGCCAGCTTGTTTCCCTTTCCGGCGGGCGCGTCTTGTCATTTTTTTCACCTTTGCGCTGGGAATCCACTGCACAATTTGATGCCACAATTTACACATTTCCTCATTAATGTTACTTAGGAAAGCAGAAGGTTCACACAGAGAAAGGCACAAGCTAGCTACAACGAATTAGGACGCGAAAAACAGTTATTCCCTCGAGGGAGAGAGCTTCTACGGCCGACACCTACTACCTACCTACCTACCTACCTACCTACCTACCTCCAGAGCTACATTTCACCATCACCGCGCACACACACACACGCACATACACACATTCCACACATTCCACACATTACATACATACAGAGAAGAAAGGACAAGGCGCACAATGTTCCCACCCACCGACCGCTCCGACCAGGACTCGGATTCCATTCGCTCATCGCATCAACCGTCAGATGGTAACAACAGCAGCCCCGATCGTCCCCATGGCTATCATGATGACGAGGACGAAGACTCCAGCTACCACCACGATGACAACGAAGACGAAGACTACGATCTCCTAGATTCCACCTCCCTCCTCACCGCATACAACACCTACCCGCAAGAGCCCGATTACTACACCCTCCTCAACCTTGCGCGCCAACCCCCGCCCACCGACGCCCAGATCCGCTCCGCTTACCGCACTCTCTCCCTCTCGTTTCACCCGGACAAACAGCCGGCGCATCTGGCGGAGCCGGCCAAGCAGCACCTCGAGCGTATCCGGGAGGCGTATGAGACGTTGATCGATGACAGGAAGCGCGTGGTTTATGATCTGCTGGGGAGGGATGGGGTGAGGGCGGAGTTTGGGCTGGGGAGTGCTGCTAGTGCTGGGGTTGGAGGGGCTGGGGCTGCTGGGCAGCGTGGTGGGTCTGCGGAGTGGAGGGTTGGAGTTAAGGCGAAGAGTCCGGAGGAGTTTCGGAGGTGGTTTGTGGAGAGAATGAAGTTGAAAGAGAGGAGGGCGGTTAATTCGTTGGTTGAGGGGAGGGTATGTGCCTCTTTTGCCTTAGCTTTTTAGACCTGGTTGGTCGGTTTGGGCTAATTGTTCTATTGCTCCTTGTGGGGTCTGCTAGGGTTCGATTACGCTGGGTGTTGATGCTTCGAATACTTTTGCGGTCGATCAAGAGGAGGGTTTGCTTTTCATCAACGTCCCTGAACCTCGGTTGTCCAAATTTGGGGTGGCGTTCTCGTTCAAGGCGCCGTTGCCAACGTGGAGGAATGTGATGGGGGTGGATGAGGATGAGGAGGACGGGAATGAGGTTGATGATGATGATGATGATGAGGCACAGACGAATGCTGCACATAGGCATGATGTTGCCTCGCTTGGGGATGGGCCGCAGATGGTCATCAATGCTGGGTTGTCGGGCAAGATTCGCCATATGACGCAGAAGTTGGAGGTACAGTGGGAAGGTCAGGAAGGGTCGCAGGTTGAAGAGGTATTGATTTTCCCTCCCTGCCAACAAGTGAAATGAGCTAACCTTTGGCTCTCTTAGGCTCCCGTCCCCTTGGTCATCTCGACCAAGGAATTGTCCCTAGGCGTTGGTGTTAGCCATGCTTTTGGCGATCTGTCAGCCTCCAAGGGTATACTGGGAAAACCTGCCCTCTCGTTCCTCCAATACTCGGGCCTCTCGGCGAATGCTTCGGTGTTGCCGTTCCCGGCGCTCGGTGTCCGCTGGGCGAAAGGTTTCGCGCTGGTTCCCGGAACGAGGCCTTTCCGGTTGGAATTGAGCACGGATTTCCAACGGCCGATCTGGCATGCTCCGCCGGTGCTAGGGGCTTATCTGGCTAAGGAGATTGGCGATCAGAAGCAGGTGTTTGTCAATTGGACGAGTGGAACGCTTCTTTGGCCGCTAGGCTTCCGCAAGTTCCTCAGCCCCGAGTACGACATTAGGGATGACTTCAAGTACATACTCACCATTCCCGGGGAACTGAGCCAATTCCAGTTCGGTATCGTGTCTCAGCCGGCGAGCAAGTACCTGGCTAGTATTGACGATGACGATGACGACGATGACGAGGAGGAAGATGTGGAGTTCGATACGGTCCGCTCCAAACATCGCAAGAACCGCAGTGCTGCCGAGTCATGGCAACTAGGAGTCGCAGTCAGCCCGCAGGCGGGTGCTTTGTCGTTCAACTATTCCCGTAACATCTTCTCTGGAAAGCCGTCCACGGATACCTCGCTCTCCCAATGGAGCTCCGAGGGTTATCACCGCCTTCCCCAAGAGAACGAACCACGGGCCGTTAGATTCGGAGTCCAGAGCACGGTTAGTTTTGACATGTCGCTTGGGTGGCATCTTGAGGGAACTCGGCGGGTCGGTGATCTGACGCGTATGGGTTTGGGTATTGGCGTTCAATCCGGTAACGGCCTGGTCATGACCGTCCTTTGGAGCCGACTGGGCCAGAACATCAGACTGCCGATTACTTTGTGTCCCTTCGAGGCTGCTACCGCTGACGCCGCTGCCGTGGCGGTTCTGCTCCCATGGGCAGCGTATTGCGCGTTGGAGTTTGGATTCATCCGGCCGAGGGAGCGCAGAAATCACCGTCGGGTGATCGCTCGGCGACAGAGACAGCTCAAGAAGCTGGTGCCCAAGAAGAGAGAGGAGAGCCAGCAGGCGATTCAGCTGATGAAAGATCAGGTACAGCGACGTCGCGACCGGGAGGCGAGTCAGGATGGCCTAGTAATCACCCGGGCGGAATACGGCCACTATCCTAAGAAGAAGCGGAGCGATGGTAGTGAGCGGGAGTCTGAAGTGGCCGATGTCACGATCCCAGTAATGGCCTTGGTCGACAACGGCCAATTGGTGATCTCCAAGGACACGGCCAAGTTCCACATCCTCGGGTTTTATGATCCTGCACCTCTGTTGCCCAAGACGCTGAAGATATGGTATACGTATCATGGGAAGGAGCATTATGTGGAGGCGACAGATAAAGAGGGTGTTGCCTGTCCCATGCGCTCACATATGTTGTAAGTTGGGCTACTACACTTTCACCTGTCCTTCTCTAGCAATCCTCCCTTTGTGATATATACGTGGCCTCCTGTCTGTGTCTGATTTTAGTCAATGCTGCATACTATGGTTGGGGGTGTATGCTGCGATTGCATGAGTCCCCTATTTGTATAATAGATCAACGAAGTGATTCCCATCTCATCATTAAGTCGCTTGTTGCACCTGCGTTGAATATGATGTACTGTCAAATCAAGCACAGAAGTGACATGCGTATACGAGTAATATTTTAAGATAGTTTCTTTGTCCAAAAGATCTACTTTGTATGCGAAGTACAGGAGGCGCCACCGCCCTGCCTCCACGTGACCATCGACGCAATTCCGCCGCCGCCAAACTTCCCATCCCGAGCCCAAAACGCAATCAACCTCAAGAAAGCCAGCCCCATCCATCCTTCAGTCATCTCATTGCAATCCCTACACGATGGCGTCTATAGCGGAGGGACTGTTCAAGGCTCTTCCGAAGCCAAAATACACCGGCGAGGAGGAGGAGCTTCCCCAACACGCACAACCCCGTGGTCCCCGGGTCGTGGGCCCCGGCCAACTCGATGAAACCCAGATTGTGCTCCGGGTAGGTTCGCCCTCTTCCTTCCAACGCAGCACTCATTATTTTTATGTCTACATCCACAAAGCTAATTCAATTGCCATCAATTCTGTCTGCCTACAGAGAACCGGACCTCCTCCCTATCAGAACCGAGCCGGATGGCGGCCGCGGGCCCCCGAAGATTTCGGCGACGGCGGCGCGTTCCCGGAGATTCTGGTAGCACAGTACCCGCTCGACATGGGCCGCAAGGGGACGGCGTCGACGTCGAACGCGCTGGCGGTGCAGGTGGACGCGGAGGGGAAGGTCAAGTACGACGCGATCGCGCGGCGGGGCCACAGTGACAACCGGATTGTGCACGCCTCGTTCAAGGACCTGATCCCGCTGCGGCAGCGGGTCGACATGGGCGAGGTGTCGCTAGACCGCCCCTCGGAGGAAGAGGTGCAGGCGCAGATGGAGAAGACCAAGACGGCGCTGGCCAGCCTGGTGGAAGGGGCAGTGTCGGCGCAGAAGCCCAAGAACGTGCGCGGGGGCCGCCGCGCCGAGCCCACCTTTGTGCGCTACACACCGGCCAACAACCAGATGGGCGACACCTCGCGCAAGAACGACCGCATCATGAAGATCGTCGAGCGCCAGCAGGACCCCATGGAGCCGCCCAAGTTCAAGCACAAGAAGATCCCGCGCGGGCCCCCCTCGCCCCCGCCCCCGATTATGCACTCCCCGCCCCGGAAATTGACCGCCGAGGACCAGGAGGCTTGGAAGATCCCACCGCCGGTCTCCAACTGGAAGAACCCCAAGGGTTACACGGTGCCGCTGGATAAGCGGTTGGCCGCCGACGGCAGAGGTTTGCAGGATGTCACGATCAACGACAAGTTCGCCCAGTTCGCCGAGGCGTTATTTACGGCGGACCGGCACGCGCGCGAGGAGGTGCGGCTGCGCGCGCAGATGCAGCAGAAGTTGGCAGAGAAAGAGAAGGCCCAGAAGGAGGAGCATTTGCGGGCGTTGGCGCAGAAGGCGCGCGAGGAGCGCGCGGCGGCCTCCTCCAGCGGCGGCCGGAGGCGGGACTACTCGCGCTCGCCGCCCTCCCGGAGTGTCAGCCGCAGCCCGTCGCGGTACTCTGATCGGTCGGGCACGCCCAGCGAGGACGAGCGCGCGGCTCGCGAGCGGGAGCAGCTGCGGCGCGAGCGTCGGCAGGAGGCGGAGCGGCAACTGCGGCAGTCGCGCATGGGTACGGAGCGCCGTATCCAGATGATGGCGCGCGAGCAGGACCGCGACATCTCCGAGAAGGTGGCGCTGGGCTTGGCCAAACCGACGCAGTCGTCCGAGGCCATGTACGACTCGCGGCTGTTCAACCAGACGAGTGGCATGAGCTCCGGGTTCAACGAGGACAACCCCTACGACAAACCGCTGTTTGCCGCGCAGGACGCCATCAACAGCATCTACCGTCCGCGTGCGCAGGTCGATGACGGCGACGACGACGGCGAGGGCGCGGGTGAGGAGATGAGCAAGATCCAGAAGTCGAGCCGGTTCGAGGTTCTGGGTCGAGCCAAGGAGGGCTTCAAGGGGGCTGAATTGGCCGAGGTGAGTGACTTTCCTGCCCTGGTGCTTTGCTAGAGTCTACAGGTGCTAACATGCTCATTTCTCTTACTAGGCTCGCGATGGTCCCGTGCAGTTTGAGAAGGACACGACGGACCCCTTCGGCATCGACAGCATGATCGCCGACGTCACGGGCGGCGGAGGATCATCGGGCCAGAAGCGCTACGGACTCGAGGAGGTCGACCGTTCCGAGCGCGGATCGAAACGGCCCCGAGTTGATGATGATGATGAATGAGGGCGGTTGTTATCGTACTGTAATTGTTGTGAATTTGGGATATTCCCATGCATTGCGGGCGTTGCTATCTTTTGTTTTTTTTATTTTTTTTTTATTTTTTTATTTTTTTCCATTTTACATGGTAGATAGGTAGGTAGGTTGTTATCTCGGTAGCCGGTATGGTGCTTGATTCAAGTTGATTGAATTAAATCATAAGCACTGTTTAAGCACTGTTTATTTCCAGGAAGGTAGTAGTTCTCGGACATAGTATACTATACTATACTATACTATCTTGATATGGGATGGTCGGGAATAGTCAGATTCCTGCATCTTACTGGTCATCCCACCCTGCATTTCAAACACGCCATGCATTCCTTCAATCGGATACTTGCGTCTTTTTTCGTCCGAAAGACCCTCCCTCCTTATCAGTCATTTGTATCCTCCGTCTGCATGTCCATGACGATCACAGTCAGTGAGTTATCTCTGACACGCTAAGTGAGTATACTCACTTTACGCCGACTATCAAGTCACGCAGACAATACTATACCTCCTCTCCCCTCTTCTCATTGCATTGCATTGCTGCACTATGTATGGTCACCGGACCCAACTTAAGGAATCAGGTTTCGTTCTGGGTGGAGAACTTCTTCAATAGGAGGTTGTGAGGAATCCGAACCCGAGTTTTCTGAGGATTGGAGTAATCCACTTGGACGTCCTTGTGGAGAGCCTGGATTTAGTAGTGGTGGGGAAGGGAAGTATGAGGTGTATGAGGGTAAGTTTCATGCGAGTCCGTGTTGTAAGTGTTGTAGGTACTGACTGGTACATGATGACCATCTACGAGCTTGGTGGTGATGGTGGTGGTGGTGAGTACGGGGCGTCAAATGATCATGTTCACCTAGAACGGGTCCTCTCCTCTTTTTCAATGCTGCCTGGTTAGTAGCTAATGCTTTGGAAACCCCATCTGGTATGATCTTGCTACCGTATACTTAATACGTAACTCTCGCTGAGTAGTACTAGTAGGAGGGTGCAACTTATCATGAAGAGATCATTTGCATTGTTAAGTAGTAGCACGAACGCGGAGAGAGTCGAGTAGAGTTCGGGGGCGTCGGCGATCTGTGCTGATCTTGCTATTCTTAATCTACCTCTGCCTTTAATCCTCTCAGTACATCCCCGTCAAGTACCGAGTCAGTCAGATTGAAGTTCGCTTGTGGCGAGGATCGGAAGGACGAGAGAGGCTGAGTGGTGTTTTAATGTGTTCATGGTTGCTTGCCTGGTGGGCTATCATTTTTTGACTATCTGAGGGGAAGGGGAAGGGGGGGAATTGACGATCTTATGCTGGGGTATAATGTGTAATATAGCCCGGTTGTACTGTAGCTATAGCTATAGCTGACTTAGGCTAACTGACTACATTCTGTAGTAGTCGGTACTCCGCAGTGAGTGCGCAGGCTAAGCCACACCACACCACACCACCATCCCTTCTCTCCCTCCCTTAAGACCATCTATCTCCGGTGGGATAGTGGCGGGGTTTGGAAGGAGCGCATGAACGGCTGTGGTTACTGTACTACGGCATCTCCAGCTTCTGCTTACACTTACATCATTTGGTCCTAGGGGGTTCCTATCCGTTTTTACTTATATTAGGGATAATGTTTAGGTGGCAGTGTGGTGAGTGTAGGTGAAGTATGGCTTCTGGCTGTGGCTGTGGCTGGTCTGGTCTGCAACATACATACATACATCCTACTCAAATGTATGTCCAATCAACAGGATCCACTAGTCTACTCCGATGGTAAGCATCATGCATCCAGGTAGACATCAGCCCATTGTCTCCCTTCCCTGCTACTAAATCCTCCGTGACTGCGTCCTTTGTCGGGTCGATCATCCGGTGATCTGATTGACAATCGGGGTCTCATTAGAGGACGGATGGATTTGCCGGAACATATGGGTAAGTGTTGAGTGTGAGGAAACATCGGAGGATAGGGCAGCAGAAGAGGGGGGGGGGGGAGCAGGATAGGATTGACTATTCAGTACCCTCCTTCAACCTATACTAGGTTACTAGCAGGATGGAATAGCTTCTTTTCTCACTGTAAGAATGGGCCGGTGTGTCTACTGACCCAACCAGAAGCAGCCGAGATCTCCTGGTCAGGTCATGGGGAGAAGGAAAAACGGTGGATGTGCCTTGATTATAGTCTGGTTGGGCAGAAGGTGGTGATGGTTACCTGAGGAAAGACTTCGGTAGTTGAGACGCTTCAAGTCAATTACTAAGTACGGAGACGGACTAAGTCAACTTACGGGGGATTGATTTGCTAAATACGGGCAGGAGATGGGGTGGAAGGAAGGCATATACTCCGTAGGTTAACTAACTTACTTACAAGAACTTGATTATTTTTTTGGTCCGCTGCACTGTACTCCGTAACTACTCCTACAGATTGCATTGCATGGCTTTGGAAACTCTAACGCCCGGGACCGAAATTGTGCTATGCTGGATACGATACCCTCGATTGCATTAATCAACCCTCGGGTGTTCTGAGCATAAGACTGTCTATTAGTTAATGATTGGGGCTGACGACTATCCTCACACCGGTAAGCCGGTCAGGTCAAGCCTTTTGCGCTTTCAAAGCGCTGCATTGTGCGCTCTCTGACTGGTCAGCTTACATCGCTAAGAAGCAGTCGATAATGACAGGCGGAGAGGGAAAAAAAGTACTCAAAAACACGCATGCCCAGGACTACGAGATACAGTGTACTCCGTAGCTTGTGTTCAGCTAGCTCCACAGCCCAGATGGCAATCGCCCACTTGGGACTCCTCTTGAAGCCACCAAATAACACGCCGGCGTGTGCCACACGATTCCTTCCAACTTGCCTTCTCTATTGACCCTATGTTGGGTGCCACCCCCTCACTCTTAGCTGCAATCGAAAGCCGATTAACCTGATGTTGGATGGCGAGGGTCGTGAAAACTTTTTCTCCAGCCCCGGTCGATAGCGTCGTCCATTCAATCGCCACGCATGTCTTCTCGCGCTGCAGGATGGCCTGTGTGACTGGATCGATGGTTGATTTGCGCGACCGTGGTGCCTGACTAGTAAGCAGCAGCTCAGTTTTCTCTCCCACATGTTCATCACACAAACATCCTTGCCCCTGGAAAGTGCGGGGGAGCCGAGGAAATGGGAAGGGGAAGGGAGGAAAGGCTTGCTTCCTAAGGTTTGCGCAGGATCGTAAAGAGAGCGAGAGGGAAGAGAGTGGCTGCGGCCTGCCAAACCAGAGGCATCCGCTTATCGATCCGTGCGCGCGCCTGATGAGTATCAATCAGAGCAAACGCTAACCCAGCGATCATCCATCCGAGCAATGGGCCACTGAGCACAGGGCAACATAGAACAACGCCTTCGGTCGGGACCAGCGCCTAGCGCGGGCGCGCCATCCAAGGGGATTTGCTGGTTCGACTGATAAGCAGTCTGGGTCCGGTGGAGCCTGGCAGCTGGAGACCAGAGATAAAGGCCGGAAAGGGCGTTGGAATGACTCGATTCGAAGTATTAGGTAAAAGGGTTTGTGTGAGCACAGAAAAGAAAAAGAGAGGGAAAAGGATAAGAACCAGTGCTCAGTCAGTCTGCAGTGTGGTTTTCAGATCTTTTCTCGATTTGTTCTTGGCTCGAAGGAATAGCACGAGATTGAAGAGTTAACTTAACGGGGGTGTGTGTGGGTGTGTCTTGTCAGTTTCTTTCTGTCTTGTCCTGCAGCCAGTCATTATCAGCAGTGAACTTAAATTCCTTTTCAATTTCTTCTTCTTTTTTTTTCACTTTTCTTTCTTCTGTCTTGTTGTCTCAAACGGGTTCGGTTAGCATTGAAGGATCAGCTGTTGACCACTTCATTCATACTCTCTGTCAGAACCAGCCGAATCTCCACCGTGGAACTGTCGCTGAAACGGTCAGGTCGCAGTGTCACATTTTTGAAGCTGGACGAGAACTAGTCCAGTCTCCACCCAATTATTTGCATCGACTTGAGTGGATTGAGTCATTGTGGTTGAGGAAATAGGTAGTTAAAGGAAGTACGAGACAGTGTGGTTGGAGGAAAGCAGACGAATTGTATCGCAACACCAGCCACGAGGAGGTAGATGTGGTTTCAAGTCACCTGCTTCTTTCTCATCCTCAACTAAGCTCTTCTTCCCCTCATCTGCCTATTTTCCATCTGCCTTTTTTTTTTTCTCTTCTTTGATTCACCCTCAATTGCCTTCATTCTCTTACACAACCACACGGTGACGCAAATTCCCCCCTGATGCCGTAATCTCCTCAATCGCCTTGCGCCTCAATCCCATCTACTAAACCCCGTGATTGACTCACTTACTTACTTCCTCTTGCGTGCTACACCCCCAGGTTGATTGAATGAATGATTGATTGATTGATACCATCACCTCATACAATGGCGTAACCAGGGGTGAAAAACAATGAACAATCGAGGCTACGAACTATTCAGGTCTTTCAAACACAGAAAGAGAAAAAAAGCGAACAAAGGACCCTGTCTCCATCTTCTGTCTGGCGTCATAATCCCCGAGATTAAAGTGATCGCCCGGGCGATTGATCTGCCTTGCCTGGCCTGCCTGCACTGCACTCTGCACTGCGCAGCCTGGTGGCTCCATACATACTTTATTACAAGAATTGCATCGATCCTTTCACACTTCTCTACTTCTATTGCTCCTCTTCTTAATCACCCTCGATCGCTCTTGATCCATATAGTGAGTCCCCACACCTTCCACTCACGCCTTTTCTGACTGGTGTTAGGCTGCGCCAATACCACCCATACCTGGTTTGCTTGTTCGGTCGTCGCTTGCACTGTAGTAGAACGCTGGGGTTGGCGGCGCTTCTCTGCTCACAACAAACTATACGTGCCCACTGCCTAGCACAATGGAGCAATCTTTGTCTCTGATCTCTGCCCAGGTCCAGTTCATGGTGAGCCTTGACATATTTTCTACATTACCGATCACCTTCACTGCCATGTCTCTACATGTCCCCCAATTGCAGACATCATGGTCTCTACTCCTGTCAAGCTCGTCTCACTAACCACCGTCGTGGAAATGCAGGAAGATCGACTGGCCCTGGTGCATATCCCACTCGATCTCTACCCGTTCTTCCTCAACCCAATCCTGCAGGTGCTCTTTCACGAGGTATCTCCGATCGCGGAGGGTCGAACCGAAGGCCAGGATTTCGGTCGTGCCGAGACGCCTAGACATACGCAGCCCGCATTCCTGAACCTCTCTATCACTCCGGTGGAATGCTCAATTATGTGTCCAAGACAGCTTGCCAACCAGTACTTTGCCCCCCTGGTCGATAGGTTTCTTCGCAACAATTCGTCTGGCCAGAGTCGCCTCTCGATCAGCCACGATGATTTCATTGCCATGCAGGTGTACGGCGAGGGTCTGGAAGCTGGCCAGCGGGTCCTTGAGCTCACCCGGCCGCTGGCCATGGCTGGAATGTACGTATCGACTGATTTGAGATTCTTCCGTAATCTACTGACTGGAATGACGCAGCTCCATCTTCTTCATCTCGACCTACTTCTCGGATTACATCATTGTTCCCTTGCGCAGCAAGACTCAAGTGATTGAAGCGCTGGAAAAGCGTGGCTTCCAGTTCGAACTGTCAACGGAGGCGTTCATCAACAACAACAATCAAGCCCAGTATAGCAGCTGCTTCAGTCCTATCTCTTCTCGTTCAGCAAGCAGTTTGAATTCTCCTCCGGCTACGCCGCCGCCGTCATCTCTAGATGAGCTTCAGGTCCGCACGTTCTCATCGCTGCGCAAGAATCACATCGTACCCTCCGTCGACCGTTCACTTCGCCTGGTACATTGCGCTGCCCATCATCAATTCAGCAGCGATACCAGCTCTATCGAGATTCTCCGAGAGGCCCTGACTACTACTTTGATTGTGGACAAGCCACGGTTCCTTTCACTCACTTTGACAGCTGCTGATCCCGCGGCATCGCTTCTCCTGGAAAAGCGGCTCCTTCCTCGGTTTTCCCACGGAAACTCTGTCACCACAGATGAGGAGGATGAGTCTAGCCTGCTTCTTGGATCCAAGGAGGAAATCCTAGTTCCCATCATGCTGGATCTCCGCAAGCTTCCCCTTGAAGCGACAGGTATTGTTTGTGGCGTCGCTAGTCGACTGGCCGATGCTACACATGCGCGGGACGAAGAGGACACCGACGTATCGACCTTCTTGTCTCGCTCCTTCCACGGTTCCGGCACTTCCCTCGACAGCGCATTCAAGCCTTTCCTCTCCTCCAGCTGGGGATCCGGTGGACCAGTGCGGCCCCTTGGGCTTGATGCCAACATTCTAACTCATCGCCTACAGCCTGACATGGACCTACCCATGGATGCCGTGGAGATTAGCTTCCTGAGCACCGCTCGTGCGGGCACCATTCTGGTTGGCGAGCATGAGCTGCACCGTGCCGTGGATGCCTTGGAGGCGGAAAGCCACGAACCCGAGACTATAATTGAGGCTCTTGAGATTTAGCTTTTCCCCGTCTCGTTTCCTTAGACCAAAATTACTCGCATCTCACCACCCCCCCTCTTTCCTTCTTTTCACTTCTGTTTGGTGTGTTCCTACCACAATTAACCTCGTGATTATAGCCAGATACCAAATTGTTGCATCGACAGCACTTGTTACTTGCATTGGGTGTTTCTGAATCTATTTGCCATTCCTCATACCGCTTTCTTCCTTTATCCTTTCACAACCTTACTTTTCGCATACGTGATTTACGATACATGACCTCTCTACAAAAGTTGATTGATTTGTTTCGTTTCGTTTTTCCCCCCCTATTTTCGTGAAAAAAAGATTTTTTATCTCCAGGATATTGCATCTATGCCGGCGATTTGAAATTTTTTTTTTTGCAAACATTTGTGCGACATCTCCCTGGGTCGGTGGTCGGTCTGGTTGTCCATACGTCTTTTTATTTTTTCGAAGGAATTGTGACAGTATCTTGATAAGTTTATCTAGCAGACAAAGCAAGCGTGACTAGCCCTGTATTGTTGTTGAATTCGTTCGAGGCGTGTGCATGCATAGGAAGGATTGACTGGCGGCGACGCTACGGGTTGGCCGATACGGCCCCCATTCCATGATTTATTGATCAATTGAAAACATCTCCTCTGTAGGTAACATCACTGTTCAGTCACTGTAGTTACGGAGTACTGTGTCCTATTCTCCCCGGTGTAGTACGGAGTCAGTCCCCAAGTGCCACATGTCAACTGCCCTACAAGGGAAGATTCTGCCACGACATGACATGAAACTAGACGAATAATGATCAGGTTATGGGTCCGCCACATTCTATTTAGTAGAAGTATTAGTATTACCTACGGCCGGATTCACGCATGTAGAATCTAGGGGGGCAGGTAAAAGACGGATAAGGTACCCAGAGGAAAGAGGCAACGAATCCGCCGCCGCCGCCGCCGCCGTCTCCTCCTCCTGCGGCATTTTGCGTACTTGCCTACTTGTCCTATTTGCCTTACCTACGGTACTCCGTCACATTATCATGCCATCTGGTCTTCAAACTTGTTGTAGGCCCAATGTCCCAGCATGCTCAATCCCGAGGCGATGAACCCCCCCCCCCCCCCCCCCTTTTCCCTTTCCAATCTGCTTTTGCTCTAAACTGAGAAACTGAAAGTATGAGACCGGTTAACTATATTATATCACATCTTAAAGTTGATGAGCATGCGATTCGACAGAATCGGTAACTTGATTGATTCAGATATAGATAGTAGGTATACAATATGATATCACAATGGGGTGGTACAATACTCTGTACCGAGTATGATATACCTCTCTGGTTTCCAGATCCGGTAAGTAATATTGTGGAGGTGAACATGGAAAGGAGGAAGGGACAACGGGGAAAGGAGACGCTGTATATCATGGTACAGTACATAGTATCATATGATATGTATAGTGTACCGGTATAGGAAGGCAATTACTCCTTTCTGCATGCGGCCGCAAATTGACACCAGAGACACAATTCTTTAGGAGGTCTGAGCCTGCTGCGTACTGAGTAGCTAGTCAACCCAACGGGTTAAGTAGCCGTTCCATCGCCCTGGGATACTGTTGCAGGATCTGGAAGCTTTTTCTCTAGATTGTTGTCACAATTTGGATCTCATCTTCCTTGTCCCAATCGCTCACGGATGGCGTGGAGGAGGCGAAAGAAAGGGATGAGAAGCACGGCCTTAGTCTACCTGACTATATGGCGCGCAGCGTGGTTTTCGGATATCGCCGGGGGGGGGGGATGTTGTGTGTGGTGTAGTGTGAGAGCGGATGTCACTGGAGGGAGATGCGTGATTTTCTTTTTGCCCGCTGTGATTGTGCTAGACTGCCAGTAGGTAAACTAGGCAATACCCTCTTGCCGTGTTGAGAATTAAGGCCGCCTGTTTCAAATTGGCGTGGCTAAGCAGGCAATAGATCAACGCATGCGTTGCGTGATGATTTTCTCTTGGATATGACCACAGAATTTCCAGCTGAAGAGGAAAAAGGTTATTGCACGGTGGCTGTGTGCTCTTGTCCTCACGTCACAGTCGGTTGTCCGCGGCACTTGGGAGAGACGATTGAGCCAACCTGAATCAGGCTAGGCTGGCTGACTCCTGCGAGATAATGAGGCTGACGTTTTAGTTCCTCGAAATCTTGATAAGACAAAATGAAATAAAAAAAAAAAAAAAAAAAAAAAAAAAAAACCGACAATCCCGCACACGTGGGCGTCTGGGTGGCGTTGAGGCAAGAAATGCTAATTTCAGGACATGGTAGCCAGTCGGTTCTCGTGGTAAGTGAATACGAGCAAGAGTAAGCAGCCAAGTTGTCAAAGCGCAGAGCAGCGTGGAAGGAATTCGACCATGACCCCAGTCTCACCCATCTTCCGGGAGCGAAGGAGATGGGGGCGGTGGGGGGACGCGCTCTAGCGATAGATCTTCACGGCTCCTGTGGTGATGATGATGATGATTGGTGAGTAAGAAACAATGACTCGAGAAACAGGCAACAAGAGGAAAAAGTAGAACATACCATCCGAGTAACCGCCGGCCCAACATCCTCCCTTTTCGTTCCACGCCACGGCACTAACGGCCTTCACCCCCTCCCCAGCAGGAACGGCAGCAATCACCTCACCGCTGAGTACATCCCAAGCGAACACGGCTGCCTGGGCCGCCTCCGCGTCACTGCTCCCCTTCTCTGCTTCACTGCCGCTCAGAACGACGGCATCTGCCTTGGCAAAGACGGATCGAATCCTCAGCTCACTATTGCGATACGCGAGGGGACTCTGTCCAAGCGTGAATCCGGCAGAGTTGTCTGTCTTCGTCGACTCGCTCCCAAAAGCCTGCAACAATTTTCCGTCGCTACGATCGAGCATGCGAATACGCCCATCCAGGGTGGACACCAGCACGGCGTTGCCGTCAGTCGAGCAGCGCACGCTTGTGACTGGATGGGCGAGAACGTCAACCGTAGTTCGGCCCATGCGAATATCGTACACTCGAACGCGGCCGTCGTAGCTGCCACTGGCAATAGAGTAGGTAGCCATGTGCACGTGTAGAGAGGAAACGGTGTCCCGCGCTTCTGTCAATGTCTGGATCGGCTTGTGCGAGTTAGACTTGCAATCCCAGAGGTGAATGGTCGTGTCCGCGCTGCCTAAAATGATTTGGTCTTAGCCAACCGCGACACTACAGAAAAATTCGTCTTTTGATTGAAAACGCACCAGACACGACGACGGAGTCGTCCTCTCCAGCAAACTGGACCGCTTCCACTCGCGCATTATGCCCACTCCAACGTCGAATGGTTCCTCCTTGTTCAACATCCCACAGAAACACCTGTTTATCTCCACCAACGCTTGTGAATCGCGCATTATCGGCTGCGACGGCGACGTCTAGCACGGAGTATCCATGTGCTTCGTAACGTTGGATCGGCGAGGTCGTCTCGGTTGCAGTGCCGGTGTTGTTCGTCGGAATCGCCCGTGAGAGATGCACTGCGCGATCGGTTGATCCGGTCAGGACATAGGTTCCAGGATAGCTGGAGAAGGTCACTGCGTTGACAGGTCCTGTGTACGTCAGAGGAGATTCGAAGCTGTCGCGCGAGAGAACAAAACACACCATTATGTGTTCTGAGCGTATGGACCAACTGGGTCGGAAATCGTTTGATCGACATCTGTAGATTGCCGATGTTTTCTATTCAAACCTAGTCAAAGTACCCTCAACCTAGTTGCTTCAAAGGTTCCGTTCAATCTGTGCGGGGACACCAAAGAGGAACCAAGGCGGCATTAAAAGTTGGGGAAAGATGAGGAGCTGCGGCTCACCGCCGGCGGACAACAGCCTTACTCCGCATTTCCGGCCGCTGCAACATTCTATTACGGCCGACAATAACAACACCCTTGCACTAATTAAAACTGTATTGAGATGCTACGGAGTACAAGTGGGTTATTATCGAAGACGTAGTCAAACCATCGCTAGTTACCAGAAGGCAGATCAGAAGAACAAAACAACCGGTCCGTGTTACGCATCACGGCTCGAGACGTATAGTACCTCTGAGCACACAAAAATCCGAAAATCAACATGAAACGAAGAAAGGTAAAGGGGTAGTCAAGTGTAAAGGTATTAGTTGAGTTGAGAACACACTTCGCCGGCTTTTGTTTCCGCCCGACGCACAGCCGGAGCCAGGCCTGAGAGTATCTCAACGACGTCCGTGACTCCGAGTAGATGAGCCCTGCAGTGACTCGATCTCCTGCTCCAGAGATTTGATACTGTGTCATGTTAGCAAATAAGTAGTCCAATCGAGGTGTCTGAGAGACATACGCAGCGTGTGTGGCCTCCAAATCCTTGTTGAGGCGGTCTCTCTCGGAGATTAGCTTCTGTTCCCACTGGCGGAATCGCTGCTCCTCGACCTTGACCTGTTCGGTGAAGCGCTTGCGCAGATTCTCCTCCTCTTCCTTGAACTTGGGGTTGTCCAACTTTCTCGGGCGAGCCTCGCCGAACTTCCGGGTCTCCATCTGTTGGGCACGGTAGGCTTCGTAGTGCTGTTCTTCGGTTGTGTGAATAAGGTCCAGCATGTGGGTGCGGATCAAGATCGAGCGCAACTTCTTAAAGTCGCAGTGATCCTCATTCTCAACTTCAGCAACACCCCAAGCGTATTGACGACCCTTGACAACACGGTTGTCGCTAGTCTTGACGTCTTTCTCCGACCCGATGACAGCGAAGGGCATGGCGGCCATAAGGCTGCGCGCATGAGTAGCGGCGTGTTCGTCGTCTTCCTCAATCGGGGGTGTGTAGATCTTGATGCCCTGGGCCTCAATGACGGCACGAATCTATTCAAGAAAGTCACTAGTCAATGCCTGTCCCCCATTGAATTCATGCGGCTTGCTCACTCTCTGCTTGTAACGGGCAAGGTCGGTAGGGCTGAGCGTATCAGCCTTAGCGATGACGGGAATGAGGTTGACACGGGAGCTCAGACGCTTCATGACCTCAATATCAAGAGGCTTCAGGGTGTGTCCAGTAGGGCGGATGAAGTACAAGCAAGCGTGCACACGCATATCGATCTTATCGGAACGGCGGGGCTGCTGTTCTTGCAGCATGTAGGATTCATGCTGGTCGTCGAGGAATTCGATGATGGGTTGCCAGGAGTCACGGTTGTTGACGTAGTCTCCGAAGCCAGGGGTATCAATGACAGTCAAGCGAACTACACCGGAAATCGGGATATTAGTAGCAGTTTGAGGAAGCCAGAAGTATCCATCAATCACCTTTGAAGAACTTCTCTTCAAGCTCAGCCTTGGTGATCTCGATTTCGACAGTCCGGTCAACCTGCTTCTGGTGACGGCGCTTGTGATCGGCGTAGTTCTTGATGGTGGTAGAAAACAAAGTGTTGATGAAAGTAGTCTTTCCCAGGCCAGATTCACCAGCAACCTATAATCGTCCAATGAGTTGTCTCCTTCTTGTGCTCGCAAATCCATGAATCACCGACCATAATCGTGAAAGCAGCACCACGCTTAGCGACAATCTTGTGCCTGAGCATTAATGTTAGTACCTGTCTTGGCTGGCATTGTTTCGCTATTCATACCGCTGGTTGGGAAGCTATTCGTATCAAGTTGTTAGTATATTTCCTAAGACACGGACAACTCTGCGTAGTACATACGTTGGCAATGCCAATGGGGGAGGCGGTTTCGGTGGAAGACATGATGGTAAGGAGTTGAGCTGGAACTCAATGAAGCGGTACCAAACGAAGTAAATAGAGGATGGTGGAGAAAGGACAACGCTGGCCTAGGACGAAAGGGGACGATGGGACCAACGGGGATAGAAGAGAGAGAAGGATTTAACGAGAGAACAGACGACGACGAGATGATAAGTAGTAATCAGAGGAAAGACAACGACCGTCGGGGGGGGGAGGGGAGGAGAGGGAGAGACTGTTAGGATGGATGGAATGGGATGATAGATCGGGAAGTCGTGCCTTTCTCGACTGGTTGCTGCCCCTGAATCCGCCCCCCGAAACAAACAGAATGCAAACAAGCGAGTGGACTTGAGGGGAATAGAGGCCTCAGGCTCTCAAGTGTCCCGGAGAGGACTAATCGATCAACTAAGGCCCCCGGATGGCGCTAGCACTATTGAAGACTAATGCGCTCCGGGTCGGAGGAACTGTCGATCCGCTCCTTATCGTCCGTTTCGGGCAGGGCCGATTTTTTTGAAGATCGACCGATGAATTGAAGACTAGGCGAAGGCTTGCTGCGGTTTAAACGGATCCGGTTGCCGACAATGAAGACGGATTTCAAGGTGGGTTTATTGCTCTTGGACCTTACATTCTGAGGGGAGAAAAGGTGGGCAGAGCGAGGAATCGTTGCCACTAACAGCTATATCTAGTTTTCCAACCTACTGGGGACGGTTTATCGCAAAGGTAATCTGCTCTTCACACCTGATGGCAATTCTCTGCTCTCCCCGGTGGGCAATCAGGTCTCGGTCTTCGACTTGGTTCAGTATGTACTCTTGCGCTCTGTGCATGTAACTTCAGTGTACTAACACAGTCTCATTCGCGAAGTAACACTTCCTATACTCTTCCCTTCGCACATCGCACCAATATCGACCATCTGGCACTCTCCCCGAATGGAAAGCTCCTTTTAACAATCGACGAGAATGGCCGCGCCATCTTGACCAATTTCCCGCGCAGAATTGTGATTCACCACTTCTCTTTCAAGGGCCGCGTCTCCGCCCTCAAGTTTGCCCCGTCCGGTCGGTTCTTCGCCGTGGGTGTAGGAAGACGGCTACAGTTTTGGAACACACCCACAACGCCCGGAGTCGATAACAATGGAGAAATTGAGTTCGCGCCATTCGTTCTACACCGCGATCTTGCCGGCCATTTTGATGTGATCCAACATCTTGAATGGTCGAGTGACTCCCGCTTCCTGATCACAGCCTCCAAGGATTTGACCGCCCGGATATGGAGTTTGGACCCGGAAGAGGGCTTTGAGCCCACCACGCTGGCTGGCCATCGTCAAGGGGTTAAAGCCGCTTACTTTTCCGCCGACCAGGAATCAGTGAGTTTGCGAACAATCGCCCCCCACTGTAGTCATACGCTAAGCATGTGTAGATCTACACAATCAGTTCCGATGGAGCTGTTTTCCGATGGGAATACGTCACGAAGAAGGATCCGGAAACCATGGAAGATATTGCGGACGCGCGTTGGAGGATTGTCAAGAAGGACTTCTTCATGCAAAACGATGCCAAGGTCAACTGCGCTGCCTTCCATGCGCCCACGAATCTTTTGGTTGTTGGGTTCTCTAACGGCTTGTTCGGGCTATATGACATGCCCGAGTTCAATCAAATCCATCAATTGAGGTATTTCTTTGGCCCCACGGTATAAGATCATAAGACAAGACTAACCTCAGCGCAGTGTCTCTCAAAGCAACATTGACTGCGTGATCATCAACAAGTCGGGTGAATGGCTGGCATTCGGATCCTCTCAACACGGGCAATTACTGGTGTGGGAATGGCAGTCCGAATCATACATCTTGAAACAACAAGGTCACTTAGATTCTATGAACACTTTAACCTATTCTCCTGACGGTCAAAGAATTGTGACCGCAGCAGACGACGGAAAGATCAAGGTCTGGGATGTCAAATCTGGCTTCTGCATTGTGACCTTCACCGAACATACAAGCGGTGTCACGGCATGCGAATTCTCCAAGAAAGGAAATGTTCTGTTCACAGCATCTTTGGACGGTTCCATTAGAGCATGGGATCTTATTCGCTATCGAAACTTCCGGACTTTCACTGCTCCGACGCGGTTGTCTTTCTCTTCACTCGCTGTTGATCCCAGCGGCGAGGTTGTTTGTGCCGGCTCTCCGGACTCGTTCGATATCCATGTCTGGTCCGTGCAAACGGGACAATTGCTCGATCAACTCGCCGGTCATGAGGGTCCCGTCTCGGCCCTCTCATTTGCAGCCGACGGTAACCACTTGGTGAGTGGTAGCTGGGATCACACGGTTCGGATTTGGAGCATCTTCGGCCGTACGCAGACGAGTGAACCCCTTCACCTGCAGGCCGATGTTCTGGACGTTGCTTTCAGACCTGATGGCAAGCAGGTTGCAGCATCGAGTTTAGACGGCCAATTGACGTTCTGGTCTGTTAATGATGCTGTACAGATTGGTGGCGTTGACGGCCGTCGTGACGTCTCAGGAGGACGGAAGACCACTGACCGTCAAACTGCCGCAAATGCTGCAGGAACGAAGTCCTTCCGTTGCATCAAGTACAGTGCGGATGGCAGCTGTATCCTGGCTGCTGGAAACAGCAAGTATATCTGTTTGTATGATGTGAGGACTGGATCGATGGTGAATAAATATACCGTGTCAGTCAACACTTCCCTCGAAGGCACTCAGGAGATTCTCAATAGTCGCAATATGACGGAGGCTGGCCCTCGCGAGCTTATCGATGAGACAGGCGAGGCTTCAGATGCGGAAGCGCGCATAGATCGCAACCTCCCTGGCGCGAAGCGTGGTGACCCTGGATCTCGGAAAGTCAGACCGGAAGTTCGGGTCACAGGGGTAGACTTTTCGCCGGCTGGCCGTTCATTCTGCGCAGCCTCCACGGAAGGTCTTCTCATCTACAGTCTGGATAATGATGTAGTGTTTGATCCTTACGACCTGGATATTTCGATCACTCCGTCTAGTATTATCGCTACCCTTGACGCCGCCAAGCAGGCCGCAGCGACCGGCCAGACGGATGATGACAGCACGTTCCTCAAGGCGTTCATCATGGCATTCCGCCTGAACGAGAAGAATCTCATCCGGGCAGTTCATGAAGCGATTCCTCCCGCCGATATTCCCCATGTCGTGCGCGCCGTGCCAACTGTTTACCTTCCCCGCCTACTTCGCTTTGTCGCCCATGCTGCCGAGGAAACTCCACACCTGGAGTTCAACCTGCTGTGGATTGAGTCTCTTTTCAGCTTCCATGGTCGCTATTTCAAGGAGAATGCGGGAACATTTGCACCAGAGCTTCGTGCTGTCCAGCGTGCTATCGATGAGATTCACAGTAGCTTGAAGAGACTGACAGACAAGAACATCTATGATCTCAACTTCCTCCTTGCGAAACCTGTGCTTGCAGGCAAGAAGCAGCCTAGTCTTGTTCTGGCTGCTCTCAACGGCGATGAAGATGCTGCCACTGGCGGAGACCAGGTCTTGGAAGATACAGCGGCGGAAGGCGATGATGGTGAGTGGATGGGCCTTGAATGAATTGTATGTCCTGTCTGTGTACCTTTATACTTCTGTTATTCCTGTTCTCCTCTGGTCATGTGTTTGGCCTCGCATGTGCTCCTGGCGTTGATTATGTGGTATACCTGGAAAGAAAAAAGGGGGCACCAAAAAGTTTGGAGTCTCGATGATGCTATGTTTATAGGATATGTAGCGCATATACACCATATAATGAAGAATCTTCAGAGTAATTTTGCTGCCTCTGCAGTGAATCCACCTGACTTGCTGTAAGTAGAAGGTATGAACCTGACCCAACTTCAAAAGACTTGCTCGCACCTCACATTTCGCTTCATTCTCATCTTCTCACTCTCTCTCCACCTCCATACCAATCCATGCTTCCATTAACCATGAACTTCCTCAATCGTATGGGGGGGATAAACTTCCCTTTCTCACCCAGTATCGCACTCATTATTTGCCTTGTTATCTGTTACTTCGCTCTCGTTCATCACAATGAGATTGACCCACTGCCCACCGTTCGTTACAAATGGTTCCTTCCCGATCTCATCAACAGGGTCATGTTCTATTTTAATGCGCGGAATCAGATTGCCCACGGATACGAAAAGGTACTGTCTGTTGCGACCATGAATCTGCTCGGAAGAGGCTGAACTGATAATTTCACATATTTCTTTAGTACAAGGACCGTGCATTTCGACTGCTGACCGCAGATGGTGATTTGGTTGTACTGCCGCTGAAGTGGCTGTGGGAAATAGAACACTTGCCCATAACCAAGTTGAGCGCTATCAGAGCGCGCCACAAGGTGAGTCAAGATGATACATGAAGGTTGCAATGCAAAGTCACCACTAATCATATCATCTCATATGTAGAATTTCCTTGGAGAGTATACTGACCTGTTCAAAGGGAGCACAAATGTATCTTGTGCAGTCACCGGCATGGATCGCCGCAATCGTCGTAAGTCTGCTCTACATTCTATATTGTCCCTTTCTGACATTATATGAGAGCACATTGCCGGTCAATTTAATGAAGAGTTCCATAAGGCGCTTTGCAGGGTAGTCCCCAGATGCCAGTGTATGTCATGACTAAAATTTTCTTCAATGACACCCCTTGACTAAATCAAGACTCTGCAGATAAATGGACCTCCGCCAACCTCTACAGACTCGTCCTTAAACTCATAAGCCGTGCCACTGCCCGCTTCACCGTTGGTGAAGAGCTCTGCCTCAATGACTTATGGCTCGAAACGGTCACTGCGTACACAACCGACATCCTCACGACCATCATTCTTCTGCGCCCAGTCCCTCGGTTCCTGCGAGCCCCCATCGCATGGCTCCTCCCAAGCCTGCGCCGAGCCCGCACAAAAGCCCACTGGGCCCAAACCGAGCTTCTCGTCCCAAGGATCGAATTGCGCCGTCACAGAGAACTCACTGACAGCACATATAAGAAGCCCGAGGACCTCATGCAATGGGTTATGGACACAGCTGAGACCAATTACGATCGTGATCCCACCAACATCGCCAAAGCTTTGATGTCAACAATAGCCCTCTTGATCGTATACCCAATTACCAACGTCGTCACGCATGCTGTATACGACACCCTCACACAGCCTGAGACACTTGGTCCCCTTCGCACCGAGATTGAGACGATCATGACCTTCAACGAGCAAGAAGACGCATGGGACCTCAAATCGAACCGGCCGTACCAGTATCTCATGGACAGTTTTCTGCGGGAGTCGTTGAGATGGAATCCTCTTAGTGAGCGTAAGTCTTCAACCAAAGTATTTCTTTCGTATCCTATGCTCAACCTCTCTCTCTCAAATTTGTTCAAACCCTACTAACCTGGGGAGCACAACAAACAGTAACACCAAGCTACACTCTTCTCGACGCGCACAGCTTTCCACTTGATAAAAGCAGACACCAACAAGCACGAAATCTGACCCTGCCTCCCAACACCCAAATCTGTTTCCCAGCCGGCCCCCTCTCGCGGGATCCAACTATCATTCCAAACGCCCACCGCTTCGACTCCTTCCGTTGGACTCACGACCCCTTCGCGGTGTGGAACCTCGTCTCCCCGGACACCATTGATACCCGTCTCCGCAACGCTGTCGCCTTCAACAGCGGCCTCACGGATATAAGTCCCGTCAATCTGCATTTCGGATGGGGTCACCGTCACGCGGCGGCTTCGTGTCCTGGCCGACACCTTGCGTCGCGCATGGTGGCTGTGGCGCTGAGTCATTTGCTTATACAATACGATCTCCGGTTCTTTCCTGGTGAGAGGAAAAGACCAGCTAACTTGGGGGTTGGGGAGTTCGTGTTACCGAATCCTGGTACTAGGGTGTTGATCAGGGAAAGGGCAAGGGGAGGATGAGGTTTGAGAGATGGCACCGCGGTCACCATCGAATAGCGTGTCCGTTGTGAGATTGTTTACTCCATCTTACAACTTATTGGTCCTGGCTGAAGTGCTCTGCGGGGTGTTTGTGTCGCAGGTTGAGAAGAATAATCTTTATTATGGGTGCTACGGATGGGAATACTGCATCGACATCGGGAATCTAGGTCTTGACATCGTGTCTGTATGGTTTATGCTCAAGAATGATATGTTGTGTGACGCTACCCAGCAGGGGAAGAGCCTTTGAGTTTAAAAAAAGAAAAAAAGGTGTAACTTGTACTTCACTTGCCTACGGTTGCAGAAGCATTCGCACTTTAAATAATTGAAGTTAATCTATGACGTGAAACACAGACGCACACCGTTGGGGGAGTATCAAGTAAAGTATGATTCGTCGAGAGACTCAATTTCTGACCGGAACACGTATCTCTCTACCAAGAATACATGTTCCTACCAAGAATATATATTCCTAAATAGACAACAATGGAGTCTAGCCGCTGACCAGACCACTCGTTCCTCCCTCAGATTAGAATACAACACACATTTACTCAGTTCCCATCAACAACAGCCGCAGTTCCGCGCCCACGACCACGACCCCGGAACCCATTACCACCCCGATCTCCACGTGCACCCCCACGCCCACGACCACGCTGATTCAGCGTCTGCGGTGGCGGGACTTGGGTGTAGTTCTTGGGCCGGAAATTCGGGTTAGTCTTGAGGACACCGGCGTCGGGGTCGCTATTGTCGACCGCGTGGTATCCTCCGCGAGTGCGACCTGCTCCTCCGCGAGGGGCACCGGCACCACGACCTCCGCCCCGACCGCGGCCACCGCGAGATGCACCATCTGCGATCTGGCCGCCGTTGGACTGGGGACGGAATGGGAGGGTTGTCTGAGCTCCCACGCCGTTCGGTGCACCTCTTCCACCTCGTCCACGACCTGCCATTCCGGTTAGAGCGCCGCGGTACGAGTTGCCCAGCGGCGCTGGGGCGGCAGCTTCTCTCAGCTGGCCCTGTCCGCCTGGCCCGACGGGGGCACCGTAGCCGCCAGTGGTCAGTGGGGTGGCTTGGGCTTGTTGTTGTGCGTCAGCTGCCCGAGTCGAGGCAAGGAGCTGGCGATAGGAGACGTTGAGGACAGAGGAGGCGAGCACGGTCTGTCCGCGGAAAGGGGAACAACGGTCTCCGAGGGTCGTGCCGCTCATGAAGGAGACGTCAAAAACAACATCCAGCAAGACAGCCCGTGATGTCCGGGTGAGACCCACAACCGTTCCTCGAGTAGCGATAGGTACCTTGCCCGAATCCTGAGCATAGACTACCCGGTCACCAAGCTTGAACGTTTGGTTTTGCAGTCGCTGCTCGACATCAGACGGCCGCAGAAGGGCGCTTCGGGGAACACCGCGGATCGCTTGGACTTGCATTTGCGGTTGGCTGCGGACAAGCTGATCAGCATCCTGCTCGATCAGCTTCACGACGTCCGAATCCAGCTGCTCCGCCTCCAGAGGGACGCGCTCAAAGTTCTTGGCTTCAATGGATTTAAGCCAGTCTCGGATCTCTTGCATCTTCAACAGAGCAATCTCCTCCGGGTAGAAATCGGTTGGCGTATACCGATCGTTCTGAGGATTGCGTTGAATACCCGCGATGAATTCAGGGAACTTGATCATATACTGCTGCAACAAATCAACAGTTTTCTGACTGAACTCCCATCCAGAATCGCCACGGCGCGAATAACCAAGTACCTTCTGCTTGCGCGCCTCGAATTTGAGGTTCAGACCCAAATTCACCCGTTGGCCCTCGATATCGACCGAGAATGAAGACGTAATTTTGGCTAAAACGAGAGGGTTCAGGCGGAGGCTGCGGGCGATTGCATACGAGGGCATGTAAGGGCAGAGTCGTTCAGCGTTTTTGGCGCGCTCTCTCCCAAATTCGGGCTCCCGGCGTTTAACTGCCGCGATCATACCGTTGACTTTGCCGTCGCTGTGCCCAGTGACATGCACAGGACGTCCATAATTATAGTCCCCAAGGAAGAACGCCCGAGAACCCTCAGGGAACTCTTCTTCAATGGGAAGAGCGTCTCTCTCAATGAAGCGTTCGTCAGGATTGATGACATCATCCACAACCAACTGTAGGGCGTAATCGGTTTCCTGCCCAGTAATATCGCCAAATTCTTTGACAGTAGCACCCTGATCAGTCTTGATCAAGCCCTTGAGTAGCTGTACATGCACCATAGACTCAACTGGACCAATTATGGTACCAAGTCTCTTGCTATATGCTGCTTCAATCTTATCCGCTTTCTTCTTCCATTGCTCGATCTGAGCTGGGGTGTGGGGAATAGCAACCACGTGCTGCTCGCCGTCTGGGCGAAGATAATCAAAGAGCTCGTCCGACACACGAATAACCAGCGCTTCCTGTAAGAACGGGTAGCCAACATGAACCCGCTGACCGAGCTTCAGCTTGGCCAACTCAGCGCTCGATCTGCTTCCGGGATCCAGTACAGTAATGACCATGCTCTCATTGCGACTTTCCTGTTGGAATACACAGACTCCATGGAACCCTAGCTGACCCACATGGGGCAGTGTTTTTAGACTGGGAAACCCAGCCAGAGCTGACGCTCCGAGGTGTACTCCATCCATCAGGCCGATGTATGGCTCAAGTCCGTCCATGGTGGGCAGATCGAACACGTTTTCGATACAATGACAATTAGGAATATCGGGGAAGATGCCAGGAAGTGAAGATGGATAGGTGAACTGCACGTCTGGCGAGTAAGTGAACTTCAGACTGGCCCCAAAGCCGTTTCTTGCTTTTTCTTCGGGGGTCAGTAGATGTTCCTTAGTAGCCAAGGCGGCGAGCAGGCGCTTTTCGTCAATGAATGGGATCTTTACAACAGCCTCCCACTCCATCTTCTTTCCATTCATATCCAATTCGAAGTCGCGAGGATAAAAATCGATAATCGGCGAGTCCGGTGAAGTCATTAATTCATGGTACGCCGCAGGAACAGTTTTTTTGCTTCGATCAGGCAACACCCCCATTAGCTGCTCATAAGGCCTGAAAGGCTTTCCAAGTCGGAAGTTTGTGTCTGCTTTCAGACCCTTCTTCACATCTGTGCCGAATTAGTGGTTGGTTTTCAGATGATCGCATGTCACACTTACCAGAGATCATCGGGGCATAGTGATACTTGAAGAACCAAGGCCAGGACGCAATGCCTCTGTAATAGTAATACAGGACCCATTGGAGACCTTGAACGTAGTTCTCAGTCAATTCCTTCATCTCTTCGTGGCTATCTAGCCCCCACCCGAATTTACCAACATAGTACTGGTTTTTCCATTCTTGAAACTTTTCTTCGTACTTCTTCTCAGCGGCTTCCTGGGCCTCTTCAGCCGACAGCTCCTGGACCTTTGCGTTCTCGTACTTTCGGATTATCCGCTGTACAGCCAAAGTGGCCTCTTCGTCTTCCTCCTCCTCGCTATCGTCATTCTCATTTGCAGGCAGCTCGACTCGGATGAAGCGGTCGCCTTCCTCATCGGAAACGGTGGTCCAAGGAAGGCGAAGATCGCCTGCTAGCTGTTCCACGAACTTGCGATCACGAGCAGGCAGCGTAGTGGGAAAATCAAGAGGCTTAGACTCCGACGCTTTCTCAGGACGGTTCAGCACGTATTTTTTCACATCTTTGAGAAGCTCCTTCTGGGCTGGAGTTATTGTGAGCCCCTTCGGCTTCTCATGTACCTCAGTAGCACCAGTCTTCTTAGCTTGAAGCCATCGAGCATCGGAAAACTCGGCTTCAAAAAAGCGATACTCGACGCTGCTCAAGGCGTCCAGGAGCATGCCCAGCCGCTCCATGTGAATAACACCTTGTTCATTAATGTAACCACCCATCTTAGGTAGAATCTCTTTGTAGGTCTTGAACATCAATGCTAAAGCACCTTCGTTGATATGCAGGTTGGGTAAATTGGGCAAAAAGTCGTTCCCGACGAAAAATGCCATCAAGATGAAATCGTCAATGACTCTTTCCATGTCGAAGGGGAAATTAAGAACACCCTCCTGTTCTAACTCCTGAAATTCTAACTCCAAGTACTCTCTGACCATACAAAGATGCAAGAGGTAGAAATTTTGGTGCTCAAGTTCTTTGGGTTTCTTCGAGACCTGGCGACCGAAAGTGACCTCCTCACGGAGAAGGCAGAAATGAGGATCGTGGCTCAGCAGGCCCAGCATGATCAGGTCAGCATCCAGACCGTAGAGACAGTGGCGAACATTAGGGTCGTAGCCAGGCTGTGCTTTCGCATGCCGGATATACTCCATGATTTTATGCTCGCCCTCACCAGGAGTCTCGTGGCCTGAAAGCACAATGTCAACTCCCTGCCAGTCCTTGTCCTCTGAAATCTTCTTGTTGATGAAATATTTCAATTGTTCAGTCAGTTTGGCCATGAACTCAGTTCCCGGGGTAATACAATTGCTGTCGAAAGGGTCTTCTTTGGGCATTTCGATGCCCTGAGCAATTGCCTTCTCCTTCGCCACCTCAGCGTCCAGCGCCGTACGGAAACGTCGCGCACGCTGTTGGTTCATCTTCGCGCGGGGAGCCACGCCATCGACAGCCATAAAAAATAACTTCTTGGGTTTGATTTTGCCGTACAAGTGTTCAATATAGTTAAAGATGGCGATGAACATCTTATCTTCGGTCATGCGGAATGTAGGTGAATCGCTGTCTTTGTGGGTACAATTGTGAATGATACCGTTCATATCCAAGTACAGATTGTCGAATTCAGGAATCCGGTTCTCTGCAATCAGTAGCGAGATGGCGGGATACCGCTCGCTCAGCCAGCGGAAGAACTTGGGAACACCCATGGTGAATTATGTAAATAAAATCTAGCGTAGGTGTAGGCTCTAGAGACGTGATGATATCCAGGAGACAAAGGCCGCCGTCTGAGTCGTGAAATCGTTGCAGGAGTGGTGTAAGTGGTGGTCGTCAATATTCAGTGAAGCTCCAAGCTCTGAGGCGAATCATCCAGCGCACGGCGTGAGGGGTGGTCGCAGAGAAATGGAAACGACTGGGTATCCTCAAAGAAGTATATGGACACAGAAATTAACAGAGGGAAGATGGAAAGAGAAAAGGGGAAGCTTGACGGTGGCGGCGAAAGCGCCTATATGACACCAGAGGGAAGAATGGTGAACTGTAAGGTAGTGAAGAGATTCAAGTGGGCGGCGGCGAAGCATGTCCGATGATGAATGACTCCGACTACAGCTCGCAGGAACTGCCTCAGGCACGAAGTAAGAGACTTGGCATCATGTGAGCTGCCAAGCCCCTCTCTGTCCATTCAGGGTTAGTTCCTTCGGGCGGCCATTAACGCGCCGTCAACGGCAAAGTCGCGTTTCGCCCAGTGCGAACAGGAAGCTCACTCTCTGCGCTGCTGCTTAGCCCTTCAAGCTCTCTGAAACCAGGCTTCTCTGACTTGCTGTCTATTTCACACTTCACTAATATCACACTCGCGACAGGGCACTTGCTGGCCGCAACTATATTTCATATAATATTCAGCTGATAGACGCAATGGAGCCATACGACGAAAGTAGGAAGCCCTTCTGCGAAATGTGCTGCGCGAGCGTCCTTTCTAACCCTTACCCACATTAGCTTTTGTTGAGGAGCAGGAGGAACAGGAAGAGGAGCGCACCGAGGAGAAGATCATCAATGAAGGTATGCACCATATCTGGCTTCGACTCGAGAGGCAACTGAATGGCAACTAAAGTGTTACACCAGAGTACAAGACATGGAAGAAGAACGCTCCATTTCTCTATGATATGATCCTTAGTACGGCACTTGAATGGCCTACACTCACAACACAATGGCTACCCGATAAGCAAGAGTATGCGCATATGTCAATTCTCAGCTTGAATCCATCCTGACACGATTTAGGGTTCCTGATAAGCCGTATTCTACTCATCGGTTACTCATCGGCACACACACGTCGAGTGATGCGCAAAACTACCTGCAAATCGCTCATGTACAGCTTCCTAATCCTACGGTGCCTAACCCAGATGATTACGATGAGGAGCGCGGCGAGATTGGCGGGTACGGCGGCAGCTCCAAGAAGGCGCCCATGGAGATCAAGTTCAATATTGTGCAGAAGATCGACCACAAGGGTGAAGTCAACAAAGCTCGCTATCAACCGCAGAATCCCAATATCATTGCGACGATGTGCACGGATGGACGGGTCATGATCTGGGATCGTTCGAAGCACCCTAGCCTGCCCACTGGGACGGTTAACCCTCAGATGGAGCTGCTTGGCCATACGCGAGAAGGTTTCGGTCTTAGCTGGAGTCCCCACACTGCCGGTCACCTCGTGACAGGTAGCGAGGACAAGACCGTTCGTCTTTGGTAAGAGCAATAGACTCAGCGATTACCCCTAAGGTCCCTGACTAATCAAGTTGACAGGGATCTGACGACATACACCAAGGGTAACAAAGCGCTGAAGCCAGTTCGAACCTACACACACCATTCTTCAATTGTCAACGATGTGCAATATCACCCTCTGCACTCTTCTCTAATCGGAACGGTATCCGACGATATCACCCTCCAAATCATCGATATCCGTGAGGCTGAGACGAACCGCGCGGCCGCTTCCGCAGAGGGCCAACACCGGGACGCTATCAATGCTATCGCGTTCAACCCTGCTGCTGAAACTGTCCTGGCGACGGGGTCGGCCGACAAGTCCATTGGTCTGTGGGATCTTCGCAATCTGAAAACGAAGTTGCACGCCCTCGAATGTCACAACGATTCCGTGACATCCCTCTCCTGGCACCCCTTTGAAGAAGCTGTGCTGGCCAGTGCAAGTTACGACCGCAAGATCATGTTCTGGGATCTCAGCCGCGCCGGCGAGGAGCAGACCCCTGAGGACGCCCAGGATGGACCGCCAGAACTGTAAGTCTTCCACACTCTAAGAAACTCGCACATGAGCACGTCCGCTAAGCCAATTAACTACAGTCTCTTTATGCATGGTGGCCACACCAACCGGATTTCCGACTTTAGCTGGAACCTCAATGACCCCTGGGTTCTCTGCTCTGCTGCGGAAGACAATCTGTTGCAGGTGTGGAAGGTGGCTGACGCCATTGTGGGCAAAGATTTGGAGGATGTGCCAACTGAGGAGCTGGAGCCATGAGCTGGCATTGACTGTAATATGAAAACTCGAAGTCTATATTGATACCTATCTTGAGCGGTTGTTCTGCTTCATGTAACGCCTTTACACGTCTTGCTGCTGCAGCCAAGCGGGGTTTCCAAACCAGGGAGCGAAATCGTAGCAAATGAGCCCTCTGTAGTTGAGCTTAACATGCCTTCTGTAACAATGACAAACTAGTGCATAGAAAATAAATCCTGAAAGGTACATGATCTAAAGCCGTGGCTACAGTGAGGGCAAACAGTCGACGTACATTGCTTTGAGAATCCGTCAGCGATCTCTTATTATGTAGCTGGTATCTACGAGGCAAGGATCCGGCAGCTACGGACTCATCACTATTTCAACTAGATAAGTATACCAAACGCTGAAGCCGATAAGCTAGGCCCGACAATGAGCAGCAGCATTACAAGGCTCAACCTTGAAATCGCCGCAGATGCTGGTGTAGATCATGATGCGGGGTAGGGGGCGTGCAGCTGCCAAGCAATTTTCCTCCGACCCCGTGGATTCGATGCATTTAGCTTAGCTTGAAGGCTACAACTTCAAGACATCAGTTACTCTTTTCAATGAGTAGACAAGTCAATGCTCTGGAGGTAGATAGTTTTCAAGCTGTTTCAGATCCGGGCAGTAAGAGGTTGTAGAAATGATCGCAGGCCGGAGTTCGGGGCATGGGAGAAATGGTGAAATCAGTCTAGGTAGAATGAGCTAATAATCCACACTAGCGGCAATTTGCCCCTCGTGTCAGCGCGTGCATTGAACTAAGTGATTGGATGAGACTGCAGGCGGTGAGCACAGAACACCTGAGATCGGAGGGGGTTCCTCTCGCTCCGAAAAGCTAACGCCGCGCTCAACGGCGAGCCTTTTTTTTTTTTCCTTCTTTTCCTCGTCCCTCATCGGAGGAAAAGTTATCGGATTCATTGATAGTCAAATTTGTCTTGCTGTGGATTGGACTTTGGGATCTCCCCTGTGCCCTCCTCCAATATATATCAAGGACGTGTTGTCCAGTTCGTCTTCTCCCCACCTATACATCCATCCCATACATCCCACTTCTCCCCTCCAATTGAGTCATGGCCTCCGGAACCTCCCCTCCTCATGGCCCCAAGCCCAGGTCCGCCATCCCTTCCCACATGTTGAACGGCGGATCTCCCCTTCATCTGTCCACGGGCTCCCGGGACGCTCGTGAGCGCGAGAGTCTCAACTCCTCTATTCGTTCGTCCTTCACTCCTCGCGTGCCTGTGGAGTTCGCCGAGCTGCCCGAGAACATTCGTCCTGTCGGCGATTCCAGCCAGTACCAAGACGATACTCCTTCTGGTTCTCTGACTACTAGGTATGTTCACTGGCTCTTCCTTTGCGGTTGCTTCCATACTGATGTCCCACATAGACCTACTCTGAGGGATCCAGCTCGCGATGCCAGAGATGAAGCCGGTGCCCTGACCCCGCCTGCCAACGAGAGCCGACCAGCCAGCCCTTACACCCTGTTCCCTCCCATTGATTTTGACGGACTGAGTTGGCCTTGTGAGTAAATGTGTTCCTTGACGGGGAGGCCATGTCTAATCCGCTTCTTCTGCAGGCCCTGGTACCCGGGCGCGGTTGGAGTCCACTCCCGAGGAGAATGAAGAGCGCATCAAGAAGCTTGCAGGTGCGGTCAGAACTATCTTGGAATGCGTCGGAGAAGACCCCGAGAGAGAGGGACTGCGGGAAACACCCGAGAGATATGCCAAGGCTATGCTCTACTTCACCAAGGGATACGAAGAGAACGTCCGGGATCTCGTCAACGGTGCTGTTTTCCATGAAGATCATGATGAGCTGGTTATCGTCAAAGATATCGAGGTGTTCTCGCTGTGCGAGCACCACATGGTTCCCTTCATGGGCAAGGTAAGATGCCTACCTACCTCTATTGGCAGAACTTGAGAAGCTGATTAGATTTCTCAAAGATGCACATCGGTTACATCCCCGACCGTCGCGTTCTTGGTCTTTCTAAGCTGGCTCGTCTGGCGGAGATGTTCTCCCGTCGTCTACAGGTTCAAGAACGTCTGACAAAGCAAGTAGCTCTGGCAATATCCGAAGTCCTAAAGCCTCGGGGTGTCGGAGTCGTCATGGAGTCCGCCCATCTGTGCATGGTCATGCGTGGCGTGCAGAAGACTAGCAGCACCACCACTACTAGCTGCATGCTTGGTTGCATGCGCTCCAGCGCTAAGACTCGCGAGGAGTTCCTTAATCTCTTGAACCGAAGATAGTGTCGTGATACCCTCTCACCTTACTTCTGCGACGCACTTGCTGCCCCTCTCGTTTTAACACTGGATGGTTTCATGATTTAAGGAGTTAACGGCGGTCTATACCTTTCAACAGGTCATTCATTGGGTATTTATGCTGGCATTACTTCTTTTTCTTGTCTTTTTTGTAAACTGTGACACCGGAGAGTCGCATGTTGCCTTCTACTTTTGCATAGATTCTTGGCGGTCACAAAGCCCTACCAGAAAGACGTCACAATTTTTCTCGGGGACTTCGTGGGGAACATTCGATAAACAACAAGACTGCATGCTGCTCCCTCAATACTTTGCAGCACCGAGAACATCCTGGCGGTGTAATTGGATGATTCAACATAACACAACATATTAATATCTCTTCAACTTGATATCAGGATCTGCGGGTACGGCTGGGACGGTCATGTCTGGAGAATTGGCGAACGAACGAACGAACGAACGAACGAAAATCATTTTGTACATTGGAGGTCGGCTGTATATGAGAAATATATCTATCTTGGAACGCTCGACTTCGATCTTATCTATCCGGGTTTTCGATGGAGAAGACATGCTATGAACTGGCGACGCTTTCTCCGCTGCAATAACACTTTGAGTTTGACCTGATAATCTGTCAGGTGTCACGACTACTAGACCAAGTGGGATGCCAAGGTACCTAATGACAGTGCCATTGTCCTGTATAACACCGCATGCGTAGCTCAGATTCCAACATTCTCTTATGTTTCTACTTCGTAACTGCTTGCCAAAGATATAGTCTTTCGACCAGCCTGGTATATGTGGTTCTCTGCCGGTGACGTGACTGAATCATGTTCAGCTCTTATATCCAGGGCCTATACTCAGATCGAGGACAAGCTACCTATTTATCTAGCCCTGTAACGACCCGCGCGCGTGTGTGTTTGCGGTTCCCAACCAACGACATCGTCATTGCCTGATGCTCCGGATTCCCATGACCCCCTCGTGATGTCTCTTTCCTCGCCAGCAGCAAGAAAAGAGATCTCGCCAGGGCCGGGGTTCGGATCCAGAATTCCTTAGGACGTGCAGTGTGTCTCTCGATTACACCACCCCGGCCTGTGTTGGAAGAAGAGGAGATGTATCTCGATCGTAGCCGCGCTTTCGACGCCTCAAGCCACCTGGTGAATAAGCTACTATGGCTTTATCGGAGAGAGCTTCCTAGAATTAATAGATTAGTTATACAACTGGTGCTGAGGGATCTGAACAAAATTGGTAGTAGAGAATGATTTCATGCAGCAGAGGAAACAACTGGCAGTGTCTCTAGCAGCCTTCAAATCAGTGTTGTATCTACAGGCATTCTTTCACACAAGACACCCCCCGTAAATAGCAGCTTATCTTTGTGAAGGTTAGGAGTAGGACATCCAGGGGTCCTATGCGATACTCAGAATAGCTATCTAAGTGTCACGGACATTGAAGCACTAATGCTTGAAAGGCATACTATCAGCCATGATTCGTGTTCCAGGCTGAGTGAATGAACATGCTTGCACCAGCTGAATGTGTCTGGACAAGATTCGGGACTTGTAGTGAATAACTGTGCTAAAAATTCAGATCGCATCGCCAGTCCTTTGGCATGGGGTACTTGTTCGCCATGGTGCCAGTTTCTTCGTCATCTCACCATCCACGCACAGCTAGTCTTTCTCTTCTACCATCATCCAACTTTCTGCTCTGTCCTATCATCCAAAAGAGTTTCAGAGACTCCAATACACATCTCTCGACAGTCTTTGGCCGCTGTGCTCTGAATCTCTATTCATTCCGACCTGCTGGAAGCGAGGTAAGTGTCCCAGAGAGTGAGAAATATGTCCCTCACCCAACGTGTTGTTGACATGACACTGATTTTGAAGCCTCACGCACAGATCAACCAAGCAGCCTTCTGGCTTCTCAAGGCAGTTTCAGACAGATTCTTGCTCTCATCATGATGGCAAGGGTGTATAGCTCCGATGAGATGGCAGCCGCCGAGGGCTTGCTTCTCCTGTGGACAAGCGAGAGAATTACAATTACCTCACACAAAACACAGGGAAATGCGAACGAGACTCACAAAACAAGTAGCCATGACGGACACAGTCAGCAAGGTGCCGCGCTGGAAACTTCCCATGATGGTGTAGACATGAGTCTTCGTTCTTCTGCAGCAAGTCAGCCTCGTGGTCCTCATTCGGGCGTGGCTCAAAGACCTGAACCAAGCCTCATCTTGAACTCGTTCCTCCCTCAGACTCTATCCCAGCAACAACCCCAGTCAACCATAACTCATGCCACTGCACACAACAATTTGCCTAGGGCCCCAACAAACGTGCCTCCCTTCCATGAAGCGGGCTCTCAGCAGTATGCTCGAGACCAGGAGCAGCGTCAAATCACACCCACAATGATTCTGCGTCACGTCATGAACAACAGGCCTCCTGGAAGAGCTAGCTCTGCGCGCCAGAACATTGCACATCGACACCCACCGCGTGGCAGCCGTCTGACGCGCGAGCAAATTGCACGGCTTAATACTTTTGCAAGGGCTGCTGCACTCGGCCGCGCGAGTCGCCCACCTCTGCGCTTCCAATCTGCTAGTAGGTCGTATCGAGTTGCTGACCCGCGCAATGTATCTTCGCACAGCTGCAACTCTGGAATCAATGTGCCTACTCGGCATCATCCGCAGAGACCCGATGATGATGCCTCATCACCGACTCCCGCAGCCAACGACATGGACACAGTGTCTCCTACTAAGCTGGAGGGAAACGCTACCGAGGCCGAGTCCGAGAAATCGCTGCAGAAATATCTGATTCGGCAGCAGATTCTTGCGGGCGTACAGCCAGAGAAGATTGCGCCTATTCGTGCTCAAGAGGTGGTGAATCGGCCTACTGCTCCGGTTCTCCTCCAGGTCAGAAACGATGTTCTCGCCGTGCCTGAGCTGCCTCCTGCGCAGTTCAGCGGACCGCTTCAGCCTCTTCGAATCATGCCACGGGGAGCTCTTGGGCAAGTTGTCACTGGATTGGAGACCGCGCTGGTCAGCCGTCGTGCCAAAACAGAACCCAAATCTGGATCCGAAGACGACAAAACGCCTCAGACACCACAGCGGTCCGCAAAAACTCGCTACATGACACGCTCCGTCGCACGCCGCACCAGGGAGCAGAACGAGCATCACGCACCGGAGCCTGAGCCTGAGCCTCAAACAGCAGCAACGGCAACACTCAAGAGTGAGTCTGGATCCACGCCACCTGTGCACCCTCCACGCCTTCATCCACCTCACCCATCTGCCCCCGACGACAACAACCCCAACAACGCCTTCACCCTCGAGAATCCCCTTGAAGAAACCCCCGCGAAGGAGCAGCAGACAATCATCCCGCACAACAACTTCGACATCATCTCCGCGCTGGCCGAATACCCGGACCTCACCATCATGGTCTGCGACCTCCTCCCCCCCGAGGCGATCCTAACCCTGAGCACCGTCTCGCGCCCCTTCCACCAAACCCTCCACACCAACCTCCCGACAATCATTACCCACCAGCTCCTCCAACAAACCCACAACCACCCCGTCTACCAAACTAGTAACATCCCAGCCCCTCTCACCATGACCATCGCCGACTCCTTCCCCCTCCTCTGCTACCCCACCCTCTACACAACCAACGAGTCCACCAACCTCATCACCCCAAAGCTCGCCTACCTCCTGATGCTCGCCTCCCGCGCCGCCACCATCAGATCCATCCTCACCACTCTCCACGCCAAGGGCATCGTCCTGCCCGCGCGCACCGACCTCGTCCTCCGCAAGGTGTGGTTTCTGATGGACATCCCCGACAATCATCGCCGGGAGTGGACGGTGCGCAATCGCAATCTCTGGTCGGATCTGGAGTTGTTTCTCGCGGCGTATTTCGTGGTCCAGGTTGATACGGTGCTGGAGGCGTCAAAGAGGTGGGAGGGGAGGCGCTGGTGGGGAGTCAGGGTCGGGTGTTTTGCTCGGCGGGATTTGGGGGTGTTGGCCGCGGTGTTGCGAGGGGAGGGAGAGGGAGGTGCTGGTGAACTTCAAATTAGTGGTGATGCCGGTGTTGCTGTTGCTGTTGCTAAGGATGATGCAGCTGAAGCTACTAGTAGTAGTGCGGAGACTGGAACCAACACCGCAACAAGTATCGCTAGTATGATCGCTGCACCTGCCAATCCAACCGACACAAACACTAGTAACACTAACACCTCCGAACCACTACTACCCCAAGACCCTCAAGAACACCAACTCGGGAATCTGCAAAACGAACACGACGGACGGAAGAACGGACTCGAGACAGTCAAGTTGCTGCGGCCCGACGAGTGGATCATGAGAGAGGTCCTGCACAGAGGGCTGGATCTGCAGGCCATGTACAAGACCGTGTGCGGGGAAGGACGACACGACCAGTACGAGACTCCCGGCATTGCGGGCCAGAGGGTCACTTGGGATGAGCAGATGCGGATGGCGACGTTGAAAACTCAGGTCGAGTGGATGGAGGTGGTGAGGTTAGACCGGTAGATCGGAGTACTGTATTGTACAGTGTTTAAACCATGTTTTGATAGGGAGCCGTGCTTCAGTTTCGGCGGGGTAGTATGGAGATGGGGCAAATGATTGTTTACGAGGGGTTGGTTTCACGGGAATTGTTCATACGGCGTTTACTGGAGCTGGATGATGGAATCGTGGTCTGTCTTCGGTGGTACTTTGGGGTACAACTACCTCGTTGCTCTCACTCGCCCACCGAGACTGCTTTTGTGTAAGTAATCTGGATTAGTTATCCAAATTGATCTATCTCGACATATGAGTTTTGAGTTTCAAACTCGAAGTTCAGTACTACTAGTATACACAGTGAAGCGTAATGTACAGGCCCACAAAGCTTAGTACAGAGAAGCTTAGTACAGAGTACCACACTCCCAGTTCTCCGCCTTGTTCACATCGCCCTTGCCCTTGTACTTGGCCAGGCTGGGCCACGGGCAGATCGGGCGCTGCTTGTCCACACCATCGGCCACAACATCGTTCTTGTACTTGGTGGGGATCAAGTACTCCGGAGCCTTGTCGTTCTCCACCCAGTCGACCATGGCGAGGATCAAGTCATGCTTGCTGTCGTTGAAGCCGGGTACGCCAAAGACGGTTCCGGAAAGCGAGCCAGCTTGGCTGTCACCGTTCATGTAGAAAGGAGCGTCCTGGTCGGTGGGAGTGTTGGTGCAGTGTTCCATACCAGGCACGAAGAAGAAGCGGTAGAAGTCGTCGATGGGAATTCCCTGGGGCCGGAGCGCTTCCTGCACATGGTTGTAGAAGTACAGCGAGGACTTGGAAGCGATCGACGGGTCGGAGTAGCCGTGGTAGTGCAGGAGCTTGCCACCCTTGTGGTAGAAGGGAGAGATGTCGAAGTTGTCGGCAGTGGCATTACCCGGGTTCAGCTTGTCGGACAAGGCAACGAGATCCGGGTTCCAGTCCTCCCAGGTCCAGTCCCCACCGATCTGGAGCATGTACTGGATGTATGTCACGAAGTCGCTGTCCAGAGTCGGGGCACCAACCTCCGTTCCCAGCGTGTAGCCAGGGAAGACGAAGGTGTCGTTAGCTTCGACCCAGGGGTTGAACAGCTTGTTGACGGTGGTCAGCTGGGCGGGGGTCACGCAGGTGTCGTTGGAGGAGGTGGCATTGCACATCACGGGGACAGGATCGAAGACGCAGCCCATGGGGTTCTGAAGGATGCCGTCCTTCACTCCATCCTGGGGGTCGCACTGCTTCAGGATTTCATCCTGCACCGCGGTCATCTGCGCATCGGTGACATGGTAGTCGGCCGTCTCGGGAAGATTCCAGACGGCAGTTAGCACGTTCCACAGCTGCTGGTGAGTGGTCCACCAGGCTGGTGCACCAGCGATCACTCCATCGAAGTCCTCGGGGAACATCTCAACTTCCTTCAGGCCCTGCTTACCACCGGCAGAGCATCCACGGTAGTAGCTGTAGGAGATGTTCTGACCGTAGTATCCCTCGGTCACTTTCTTTCCGTTGACAACGGCGTTGTGAAGGGCACGGTAGCCCCAATTGGCAAGGGCCGCTTCGTTGTGGTATCCGAAACTGCCGTTGTTGCCCTCGTGGCCGGTATCGGTGGAGATACTGGCGAAGCCATACCAGGCAGTGTTCATGATGGCAGACCAGCCAACTGACCCGGAGAATTCTCCGTTGCCAACAGTCATGAACCGTCCGTTCCAGTCATCCGGGAGGACGATACCCACGCTGTGCTGGGTGTTGTTGGGCAGGGTGATGTTGGCCTGGGCAACACAGCTGTCGACGGACACCTCATAGGGGTTGTTGCCCGTGGGAATGGAAGTCAACCCATAGTTGTACTCAATGGGAGGAGTGAAGTTGGCTCCCTTGGCATAATGATCGGCATAAAAGACAGTAGAGTTCTTGGGAAGAAAGGGCGCGATGCTGTCAACACTGCAGTTCTTCTTGGCCGCTGCCAGCGTGGCCACGGTAAGGAGGGGAGCAGCAGATTTCATTGCTGCAATGGAATTCCAATGAAGGACAAGATGATGTTAGGAAAGAAGGGAATGTGCTTGATCATGCAGGTAAAGCCAAGATGATGGCAGTCTTTATACTTTCGATGGGTAACTGTGTGGCTCTGAAGAAAAGGATAGATCCAGGCAACCAGACTTCTGGAATCAATCCACATCTGCACTCACTCTACCTAAAGAGCCATCATGTTGTATCAACAGCCCTGTAGAAGTGCTCTTTCCACCACATTCTCGAACAGCGCGGCCGGTGGTTCTGAAGCTGATCTGCAAAAAGTTGCTATGAACAGGATAGTCTCCGCAATAACAAAACGGGAGCCAGGAACCGTGCGATTCTTATCACGCGCACTAAGCACGGTCATTGGAGCCTAGGGGCTAAGCTTAATATGCCATGATACTTTATTCCAATGCTCCACCTCCGTTTCTGCACGACTAGACCCGGCGGAGTGGATAAGATGACGACGCTTTCCATTCGGGCACTGCTTGTTTCTTCGGCTTGAAACATGGATCTCGGTGTCAAGCATTTTTAGTTAGTCACTAGCCAGCTCTAGAGTCGCTTGACTAGGGTTCAACTGATGAAGATTCGTAGTTCTTCAAGGCCTTGCCGACAACTGCAGCTCGGAGGACAGACACATCTCCGTGTTCTTCAACGTGCCGCTCGTCTCAGTCATGGCATATACCAGGTATTGAAGTTGTAACGCGCACATTTCCACGTTCTAAGTGTGGGTTCAAATCAGCTAGGAGATATCACGGCCGAAAGTATCAAAGGCCTTCGCAAATTATATTTGTTGTAGAGGAGGTACTGTGCTAACAAAGTGGTGACGTCGCGGATAACAATATGGCAGGACGGTAGTATAGTACTGTGCTAGAATCTGACATTTCCCATCATGTCTGTAGGGTCTGTTCCAAGTCAATCATCGGAATGCGACTATCTGCACTTCCCCAGGTCAGATAAGTGTAGCGAAGTGATGCTCACAAGTCTTACTGGTAGGAGTGGCGGGGGCAGGTCCACAACAGTAAAAGCCACGCTGGACAGCCAAACAAACCTGTCAAACACGGCCCGCACTAATTCCGGCTGCCGAACTCCCTGCACGTGACTGACGAGCGCGGGCTGAACTTCTGAAGGACCACCCGTCGTTTCCGGCTTACGACAACCCTCGAACTGTTATTTAGTCAACAAGACACAATGTGCCTGAACAGACCAGCCTTTCCTGAGCAACTCGGCTTTGAAAGAGTCGAATTAAGGTCCCTGGGACTCCGACTGTCTTCTGGGGGTTTTCATAGTGCTCTCTAGCAAACCTCGACTCGATACCTGCCATGTTCATTCGCTCTGTGACATTGACCCTGCCTGAACTGGGCCCCAAGGTTCTCCCGCAGCCCGACCGCCCACTTGCTCTTCACGGCCGACCACCTATCGACCTTCTGCCGACCCAAAAGTTATTTGATAACTTCTACAGCTGGCTTAGTATAGCAAACTGCTTTTTTCCATAATGCGTGCGCTCTAGACACTGTGTGCGCCGCCAGCCAGAACGTTGGGAGAATAGAATGCGTTGAGTCTCTAACCGCACGGACCGATGGTTTAGATGTCGCCGCATCTTAGTGTGGGTGTCTAGGTACGTATTGCCATTATATCAAATAGTCCCAGATATCTCAAGTTGGACGAGTATCTTGTCTCCTTGCCCGAGATTTCGGACTCTACGTGTGCTTTCGGTAGACTACAGTCGCTTGTTTCGCGCCTGGAAGAGCTCGCTCCTGCGATACTTTCCTTCACACATGGCACAACCCTGAATTTTCGAGTAATTGTCAGGGAGCTTGTCATTTCATCTGCAATAGCTGTGCATCTTGCTCGCAGATGGCCCAGACAAATGGTGTCATTCAGACTGGAATCACGCTACTTCCCTCCGCCGCGGCACGGTTGTCGGCGACTTGCACAGGATATCCAGTCAAGCGAGTATCATGGCGAAAATTAACACTGTCAATGATTCTCGCTGCTCTGAGTATGTGGTGGCTGACCAGCTCGCTTCCGCACACTGACCAATTGCTTGGCTAGGTCGAAGTGGAAACGTCAGCGATTTGAGTATGATGAGACCTTGATCTGTTCAGTGTTACTACTGCTCAGTCCAGCCAGGCGCTTACTCTGTTGATCCACGTCGCTTCCATTTGGGTATATATGGTTCTTGTAGATAGGTCCCTTTTTCCTTGAGTCCAGGGAATGTGCTTTGCGCAGCAAGTGACACGCAGACAAGCTAGAGAGACATTGGGAGTTCTGATGAGTGGGTGGGAAGGATACCAGGAGTGCTGGGAGCAGGACAGCAATCATGAACCGCAGCTCAACCCGGATGCACAAGAGAAGGATCGAAAGAACGACTCAAAACCAGCTTGATCTGCACTACGACATCCGCAAAAGAGAAACCCTTTGGTTCCATGCTCGCTTCATGCACAACACCCAGGCAAAAATAGCCATGGAAGAAGCCGGAGGCTCTGCCATGCCATGCTGACTCGGAATTGCTCCCCTCACGGCGGCTATCCGACTTGGGGGAGTCTTGGAGAGTTCGACATCGCAAGCTGGTCCGGTCACGGTACCGCAGATCAAGTCTCAACTTCCCAAAGCGCAACAAAATGCTTGCCGTTCATCATGTGGCGGGTTGAAGGGCGCCCTCGTGAGAGCGAGCGAGTCTCTATCGTAGTAAGAGCCACACAGCAATACTGGGACTGGCGGGAAGATGGGATCATGGCTCGCCCAAGAACGTCACCCGCTTCGACTCGGTTGACTGACGGACTCATTCTTCCCTCTTAAAAGAAGAAATCTGTCCGGCTGGTCGGTTCCCGCCGATAAGTAGAACTCCTTTCATCACCACACTTGTACCGAGTCACCGACGGGTGGTGTTCTTCGTATTGGTAACCCGCCCTGGAGAGGCATTCCACATCCTCCCCTCTTCTTCCTCCTCCTCTTTCTCTTCCTCTTCCCTACTGCGAATTTCCTCCATCCAAACGAAGAAACAGAAAGGTACGTCTATCCCTTCTCTTTCCTTGATTTGTTGGACGTCTTCCCTGTCGTCCGCCTTCAATATTGAACGTATTTTTTCCACCTATTAACCCCTTGTCTTTCTCTACTCGACAGTTCATTTTTGTTTTTCGCGTTATCTTCCATCACCATCAAGTCCATCGATTTCCCCGGAAAAACCAGTCTTCCGCACCACCCAATCCCCGACTCTAGAGGAATCCTCTGAGAAACGCGGCTGGCTCACTCACGCCCGCCTCCCCCCCCCCCAAACCTGCCTGAATCGCCTAGACAAGATACCGTACACTAAACGACTAGGCTCCACCGGACTTTCTCGCGCTGACATCTACATGCGCACCGTCTCTTCCTCTAGCGGGCCGGTCACTTTGATCCCTGCTGTTTCTTTTCCCTCTTTCTCGATCGGATCTAGATGCAGTTGAAGCAGCTTACATGGCTGGGTCCCGCAGGAGTCCGGTGTTGAGAGACGAGTGGAAAGCCACCACCGACACTGGGGATCAGAGGGATCGGGAACGAAATCACCGACCTCGAGGTTCATATCGTGATCGGGGTAGGGACAAATTTCGCGATCGGGAGCCTCGCCGCCGCCCTAAGGAGGGCAGACCTGATTATTCGCTACGGTCGCCGCCGCCGCGTTCCCATCTTCCTTACGACCACGATTCACGCCCGCACCGCGAGTTTTCTCCTCCTATCTCTCGCCGTGATTCATCTGGTCTTCCGCCCCCTGATGCTTACACTGGTCAGAAATCAGATCGTCCTCGCTCACCGAAACCTGCGGATCGCCCTGACTCGCAATCACAACGTTTGGTAGAGACAGACAGACCTGTCGGTAAAGACCATCGACGAAACGAGTCTCCATCTGCACCACCACCTTCGAAACGCAAAAGAACACGGAGTCCTTCTCCCGGCGGGTATAATCCGCATTCCCGCCGGCCAGGTCATCGCCGTCCGTCCTTCAACCCCCACGACGAGCTGGACCGAGGGTATCCATCCAACAGGCGTGGCCGTTTCTCAGGGCGCGGCGGACGAGGTGGCGGAAGGCATTCTCCCGGGCCACGACGAGGAAGGGAACGCCGCAGGGCCGGGGGCGGTGGCCGTCCTGTCTCTCCACATTCAAGACGCTCCAGGTCGCCAGTCCGCGGAGGAAAACCATACTCACACCCGCGTCGGCGACCGCACAGTCCTCCCTTTGAAGACGAGCCTGAGATCGGACGCCGTTACCGCTCAATATCTCGTCATTCTACCCAATCTGTGGCTTCGAGATTCTCTGGTGACTCTCGTCGAAATTCATTAGTAGAACCCATAATGAATTCGACGAGACCCGCTCGACCCTCAGGAGGCGATTCACTTAGGTCTCCGTCGCCCCGCGGACACGCTACAGTTTTTAGTCCCACCACTGGGCCTACTGAGGGAGAAGCCACGCGTGATTTGACTCGGGGACGACGAGTATCCGGTGCTTCTACCGAACAGCGTCGAAGAACTTCCCGGCCTGGGGATCGCTCTCATGTTTCGAACTCATCACATGACGCGGCGTCTCTTCAATTCAACGACGAATCCACAGCACCACACTCAAAAGATCGTAGCGGTTGGAATGGGCAACAGTCATCGTACCAGAATTCTCATAGGTAAGTTGACGATCAAAGCTCTTTTCCCTTTTCTCCATTTCAAATCTAACAAAGGCATACAGCCGCTCTTCACCACAACGACAAAGTAGCTATACTGCAGGAGGATCTCCGAATCAAAACCAGCAACCGCACCGTCCTTCACATAGTCGTGGTGCTTCACCATCCTTAGCCGCAAATCACCGTGGTGAGATTGCGGGATACCGAGGCAAGTATCAAGAACACATTGGTGAATCTTCACCCCGCGAAAGGAGCAATTTCAACAAGTCCCACTGGAATGCACCCAGTTCTCGGGAACACGGGAGTGCACCGAACGACAACGAGTCATATGGGCGTTCGCCACGCAGTCCCCGATCTCAGCCATCAGGAGCCAACGACCATAGTGGTCACGGACATTCGAGACAGGAATCACAAGAAGACATTGAGAGGTCTAGAGAAGGTCAAGACAAAGGCGAGTCTGAGAGAAATCCGCCCCCCGGCATGCAGCCTTCTGCTGCTTCTGCTACTCCAAATAAGGGAGGCAAGATAAGCTTCGCGTTCAAGGCGAAGACTGCTCTGGCTCCAGCTCCCAAACCGGTTCCCGACTTAGCTCAGAGGATGTTAGCTCGAGAGCCACCTACACGTGCCCCTGAACCGTCTCCGCGCAATAGGATGCCAAGTGGTCCACCACCAAAGTTCAAATCTGATTCCCGCTTCGATCGCCGTGAGCGTGACCGCGAGCGTGACCGCGAACGCGAACGAGATCGGCGTGATCGAGAGCGAGATCGTGCACGCAATGAGAGAAGAGATTTTCGGGAGGGCCGTAATTATCGCGATACGCGGGACCCTCGTGGTCCTCGAGAGCCTCGAAGTATGCGCGAGGCACGACGCGAAGACCGCCGTCTCGATTCTTCACGCAATGAAAGATCCTGGGGAGACCGGAGACAAGATTCCCGTCCTGATCGTCGTCCCGAGCGCACTCCGGAGCCAAGAAAGCAAATCAAAATCATGACGCGCATAAAAGCACGCCCCGTCCTCTCCGAGGAATTCGCAAACTCTGACTCCGTCTACTACCGGAAACCGGGCAACGAATCAGTCATTGGTGCAGGCACATACGGCAAGGTTTTCAAGGCGATTCATGTCTATACCCAGCGTAAGGTGGCGCTCAAAAAGATTAGAATGGAGGGTGAGAAGGACGGTTTTCCCGTGACTGCTGTTCGGGAGATCAAATTGCTTCAACACCTTCGCAATCACAACGTCGTCAGCTTATTGGAGGTCATGGTCGAGCGGAACGAGTGTTTCATGGTTTTCGAATACCTCTCGCACGACCTGACGGGTTTGATCAACCACCCGACCTTTACTCTAACTGAGGCTCACAAGAAAGATTTGGCTAAGCAAATGTTTGAAGGATTGAATTACCTTCACCACCGGGGTGTCATGCACCGTGATATCAAAGCCGCCAATATTCTGATCAGCAATCGAGGCCAATTGAAATATGCCGATTTCGGGTTAGCACGGTTCTTCTCCAAAAGTCGTCAGCTCGATTATACGAACCGTGTCATCACCATCTGGTATCGACCGCCGGAGCTTCTACTTGGTGAAACTCGGTACGGTCCGGCTGTTGATGTCTGGAGTGCGGCTTGTGTATACGTCGAGATGTTCACGAAGAAGGCTGTTTTCCCCGGTGAAGGAGGCGAGATCAGTCAACTTGAAAAGCTATATAACTGCCTGGGCACTCCGAATCGCGCAGAATGGCCAGACTTGATTGAGATGCCCTGGTTCGAGCTAATGCGGCCCACAGAGCGGAAAAGGAGGATATTTGAGGAGATTTACAATGAAATCCTCTCACCCGCGGCACTGGACCTTATATCACAGGTCTTCCAGTATGATCCTGCGAAACGACCCACTACTGAGCAGATATTGGAGCACCCATACTTCACCTCGGAGGAGCCCCAGCCCCAGCAAGCTATCGAGTAAGGCCTCATGTTCTATTTTAATCTAGGTCTTTACTGACACTTTCTAGACTTGAAAACATCGAGGGTGATTGGCACGAGTTTGAGTCGAAGGCCCTTCGAAGGGAGAAGGACAAAGAACGCCGTGCGGAGTACCAGAGGGACAAGGAGAAGCGCAAGGTCGCTCCTCTGGCACCTCACAGTGACAGGGACGCCAAGCGCCTCAAGGCTGGTGCATCGGAGCGTCAACCCGATTCCGCGCAATTTGCCGACTAATAGGTGCTACATCAGTCACTGTTTCGCCCGTGAAGCTACGACGTACATTCATCCTTCGCTCATGACACGCTCTCATCATTCGTGTAATTTCGACTGTCCTTTCAATCCTCCTGGTCTGGCGGTTCACCCATTAGAGTAGTGGATCCGTCCAGTCAATTCAAGGCAGCATTATAATGTTTTCACACCATACTTTGTGCGACACGGTTGGAACGCACTGCATGCATGACATCCATGTTCAAGGAGGTCGAGGAAGGGTGTTCTGGTTTGTTTTCCCGGCTAGTCATCTCTGGTGCCAATTGATTCCCTTTACGAATTGCTACATGTATAGAAATATTCAGGCAGATATCTGAGACGTAAACACAGAGTCGTTGCCGCTTTGATGCTTTGATATCACATAGCGTAGCCGCGTAGGTTGCAGACGCCCAACGATTGACCAATTGACCCCTGGTTGACCCCTGGTTAACTTATTGCAAGCACTATGATCAGACCTTGTCAGTGACTCGGTGACCACAGGATACGGTGAACATGAACCCTTGCCCTGCACGTCTGGCTACGACAATCAGAAATGCCTTTTCACCTCACACTCTACCAGCGCGAAAACCACGCGGTTGAGCACCTCGGATTACCAGAGTATGTGAAATAAGAGCTTCATCATGGTGGAGACCTTTCACTTGAAGGTCGTTCAAAGAGCAGGAAGAAAAGATGGCGGACGCACCGGCTCAATTAGAAGGAGGGGGTCTACGATGCCCTTGCATTAGAGCGGAGTGGACTACGAGTAGGGACTACCAGACAGCGCATCAGAGATGTTCGAATCTGGGATGTAAGAAAGGGAATGTCCCGTCATACAGGTCATCACCGCATCATGGAGCCACCGAAGATATCCCTCGGAGCCCTCGTGATGATGGTTTTAGAAGCGGGGGAGTTTAGGCCACGATCTCGACACACTCATCGGAATTGCCAGTGCAGTGGATCGATTTCGACAAAATCAAAAACGAGATATGCAACCAGCAATGATTTGAGTTGGTGGTCTTGGGTTTGTTATGGAAAAAGAAAAAGAGAGTAAAAGGGACGGGAAGAAATCATCGAATTTATATTTGCTGTGGATGGGCAGGCGGAGCTGGAAAAACCACGGAGGCGGAAGAGTAGCGGGGCAGAGAAGTTGATTGGTTTGGGGGCAAAGAGGAACTTGACGGCAGAAAATCAAGATATTGCCTGAGGCCTGCCTGAGGTTTGCCAATTCTTCCGGCTCTTTCTTCACAGCGAAGTTCGTTCACTCTCTACCTCTCTCTCTCTTTCAGTCTCTTTCCGACCTTCAGGATTCGTTCCAGGTTTAATTCCCAATTCCGCATTTCTTCCTTCTTCCACTTCCACCACTTCCAACTTCCACCACCACTACAACCACCACCACCACCAACCCTCCGATCTTCCTCTACCTGTAACACTACTTTCTATTCCCCTGACTCTCAATCGTCCTCTACTCTACAGCAAGACAAAGTCATACAGATCACATTCCCCCCACATTACTATTCGTCACGTTTACGATCACGATCACGATTCCAATCCATTTTCCTTGACTTCTCTTTCACTCTCTCTCCCTCTTGGGCTCAAACACTTTTCGCCCCAGTTCGAATTTAATTGAACTTAATTTTTAAACTCGACTTGCAATCTTTCTTCTTCTAACATACTGGCCTCACTGTCCCCGATCGTTCCCTTTCGTGTCTTCGGATCTTTCTCCTGCTCGGCCGCATCCGTCACCCCGCCTATCCAGTCCTCCTCCGCTGGTGACCGCTCGTCCTTTTTCTGAGCTGTCTCAGTAGCTAGTACATCCATGGATAACGCAAACCTCTGGACCCGAAGATCTAAGTATGTCACGACTTCCGCGCTTGGTGCTTTGTTTCAACCGCTTGGCAAGGAATGATTAAATGGGACGCGGACCAACTAATTTGTTCTTGTACAGCGCTTCCAAGCTGTCCCTGTCGATGACAGGGTCGGACGGCGCTAGAGTTGAACCCCCCCGCGCCTCGAAACGCTTCGGCCCAGATAGCTCCCACGGTGGTCGATCCAACCCTTTCAACGCCCTGTCGCCTTTGTCTGGTGGCGTCTCCTCACCCTCGACAAACGCTTCCTCCGCATTCGGCCTGGGCTCCGGCGCTTTCGCGTCTTTTGGAGCTCCCAAGACCCCCGGTGCTTCCGACCTCAAAACTCCTGGATTTGAAAAACGCGAAAATCCTGTCGATCAGGAACTGGCCGCGGAGAGCGCCAAAGCCAAGGCTGCACTCGCCGCGATCAAAGAGCATCCACTCAAGTCCACATGGGTGATCTGGTACCGCCCGCCGACTCCGAAGTACTCCGATTACGAAAAGTCCACCGTCCCTCTTGCGGCAATATCCTCGGTCGAGAGCTTCTGGTCCGTGTACTCGCACCTCAAGAGACCCTCTCTCCTTCCTACCGTCTCCGACTATCATATCTTCAAGAAGGGCATTCGTCCCGTCTGGGAGGACGATGCCAACAAAAAGGGTGGCAAGTGGGTGGTGCGGTTGAAGAAGGGCGTGGCGGACCGGTACTGGGAGGATCTGCTCTTGGCTATGGTTGGAGACCAGTTTGCGGAAGCAGGCGACGAGGTTTGCGGAGCTGTTCTGAGTGTGCGTAGTGGGGAGGATGTGCTGAATGTGTGGACTCGGATCGATGGGGGACGGAACATCAAGATTCGGTATGTTAGTTTCCGAGATCTCAATAGTATCACTTTACTAACACCCTTCGCAGTGAAACTATCAAGCGTCTACTCAACTTCCCTTCCGACACCAACATTGTTTGGAAGAGTCACGACGACAGCATTGCTCAACGTTCGGCGATCGATCAGGCTCGCCAGGACAAGGCCACTGGCAGCACAGGGCACCATCACCACCATCATCACCACAACAACCAACAACATCACCATCAGCAGCAGCTAGGCGGTGATCGCCGACGAACGGGGGCCACCGATGAGTCGGATATGAAAGGCAAGGCGGCGTTCTCTTGATCGTCCTGCTTTCTCCTACTCACTTCTTTCTCTTTTCTCTCTTTTCAGCCAGCCTGGGTCATATGGGTCATGTATAGTAAAAAAAGGAAACCTTTTTTTTCTTCGCACAAAACTCATTGGGACGAATTGGGATCGGGGGCATTTGGGGCGAACATTGCGTCTGATCTGTTTTTCTATCTTAACTTTTTTTTATTGTCCGGGGGGTGTTCGTGTCGCATTGTTTCTCTTCTACTCTCACTAGTTCCCAAATGTCATGCGAGATGCTACGCTATGCTATGCCGTGCTATGCTACACCATGCAATGTGATATTCTTGTGGTCGAGGATGGTGGGCTCTGAGACATGGCTGCTGGATAGGATCGGATGAAGATATGTGTCAGTCAATACCGGTATTACTGATAATTTAATCGATTCCATTGAAACAGGTCTTAGTGCTTGTAGACTCGTAGTACGGCCGATGGCCAGTACATTCTCAATGCCATCAAGCAGCTGCTGGCCTAGCCGCGTTGACGCTGTTTTCATCGTGTCGAGGATTACTAGGTTCTGTCCTCTACAACATGGCCGACCGTTGACCCTGGGCAATATGAGTATATCAACATACTCCGATTGGGTATAATCTAACTAGTATAGCTTGGAGATCTTTCTCGTAGACATGAACCACGCCAGTTGGTCTTGGTCACGATGTTGGTCTCTCTCTGGAGTCTCAATCGTAGTATCTGGCTCGTGAAAGAGCAGCCAGCACTCATTGAACTTAGATTCAGAATACTTCTTGCCCCTGTTATTCTAGTGGAGTTGACAGTTAAGACAGACCGGGATAAAAGATCCTAATCTGATTAACATTTCCGATAAGATAGGTTCGTCCGAACCTTGATGCATGCATTACTTAGGGCTAGTGGAGAGGGAGCCCAACCGAGTTGGATAGTATGATATGTCAGATTTGAGGGTGTGCGGGCTACGGTGTATACTATTTAAACTAGTACTGGAGACGGTTGATTGATGTGAATCAAATGAGATCAGTTGTACAACTGAATCTGGGTCTCTGTCAAGAAGACGACTGTGGGTGGTGATTGATATTCAGATTCTATTTTAGCGTAGTCTAGTACGGAGTATAAGGTAGGTAGTATTACGGCTAGTGCATGGGAACCGGGTTAGTTAGTAGGGCCAGTGGCTTCCCCGTGGTGCAGGAGTAATGCATCCTTCCGGCGGTGGGATGGGGGGATGAACAAAGAGCCCGTGACAGACAAAAACCCAAAAAGAAAGAGAAAAGAAAAAGCAAAAAAAAAAAAAAAAACCCCCCCCCCCCCCCCCCCCCCCCCC